GGACTGTTTTCAACTCTCCGCAACAAACGAGTAGTCCAAATATATGCATTAGTTCACGTTTTAATTTTGGTAGTCTACAAGCTAACTGTTTAAAATTCTTCATGGTATGACTCGTGCATAAATGAAGAAAGGGGCGTGAAAGCATATCTAAATTTGCGGTACCTTCAATGACAGCGTAACATCGCGAAATGTACGATTCCAAACTTTCCCGCATGTTAACCTGAATTATTGACTTTATAAGGGCCATGCTTCCATCGCATATAAAAACTTTCGCGGGGAATCTTTTAGTTAGTTTGGAAACATCACAACGGAATTGCATGAGAAAGTTCGAAATATTTGGAATATTGTGCCGATTTGTTACAAACGTGGCAACGGCCAGGGGTGATTTGCCTTTTTGTGGATGACGCGTAACAATTTCATAGACGTAGTATGGGCTATGCCCACCGGACGCCAAAATTCCACCAGTAGCGTCAATGTATATAATGTCAATAGAGGAATTTTGAATGAATTTTTTTACCGAAGCCTCTGACCAAAACATAATCCCCGAAGGAACCCTTGAAATTTGCTGCAAGGTTCCACGAATTACTTGATTTTTGGACCTTTCGTACTGCAACTTTCTCAGTGAATATAGCGAATCCCATTGGTTGCCGGGGTCGGGGACACGGATAACCCTAGATTCATGACGTGCCTTTTTTAAAACAGCTTGGGATGGGGCATCGTCCCTGTTACCAGAATGAAAGACTTCAGACGAGAGAGCACCTATCCTTTTTAAATAAATCTTACGAGGGAGAACATGAACCAATTTTTCCTGAAACTCTTTCCTACGTTTACCTTTAAGTCTCATTGATTTTAACCCAATATGGCGAATCTTGCCTGTGTATGAAATATGAAACATGCGGGGGTCTTTCCGATAGGATACTACAGAAATTTTACGACTGCAACCTGTAAAGCAACAATGCCCACTACAAGCAAAAATACGATTTGCCAATATTCCAGAATTTACTGTGTGCCATCGAAATGCATATGAACAGTAAGGGTCACTCCGCCACACCATGTCGTAATTGCCCGCCGGGCAAACAAATAGACGATAGTGAGAACGGAGATGAAGGCGACGGAGAAACAACCTGTATTGAAATCGCAGTTATTAACGTAGGGTACAACTTTACTATTACATAAATATTAAACATTCCATTAACGTTTGGGTGTGGTGAAGGAGCAAATTCATATTTGGGGAGTGGTAAATGTTTTGCTATTTGTGATAGACCTATTTGTAGACCTCTGGTACACTAGTACTGATACATGCGTCACTTTCTATATATGCTATTATATTCAATTATAGGGCGGTTGGGGGTTCACCCTTGGGATAGAAAATTACTATTATAATAAGTCACCTCGCTGTAACAAATAGAGAAGATAGGTTAAAACATTTCATGCCTATAATCCATTAAACCCAGCTCACCTTCGGAAATGTGATGTTCCGTATATTGCTGTCCGACAGTAGGAGAAGGTGTGGACGATGTTGATCTTTTGGGCTGCGGAGGTACGCGGTTTGCTTACCACTCGCAGTGGCAGCTCCTCTTGGATAAGCGACGGGTCGTGTTCGGAATCCCCTCATGTTCACCTGTAATCTATGTTACGAATGTTAATCACAATAAAGGATACTTACCTCAGTAGTTGACCGAAATACCGTAGTAGATTCGGTGAAGGCTCCTCAGGAAAGAATGTCAACTGCCAAATACGGCATGCTCACAAATCTTATGATTATTACGTAACAGTAGACCTTACTCAGTTACATAACAATGGTAATGTTACGCATGACATATCTTAATGCATCACCTTTCAAGCTACTACTGAACAAGCATAAAACGATGCCTAATTATGTTAAAATGATATGGTTTGATTTGGCATTAGGATGACAAGCATTCCTGTTTGACAAGATATTATTATATGTTCCCGACATACAATTTTTCTCAAACTTGGTTCGAGGTTACTTCACAATATGTTCTTCTAGGATATTTTATTCAAAAGTGGGGCACGTAATCGAAAAGTACAAAATTTTGGGTTAAAATGCCGATATTCACTAATTTTGTTGTAAAATTCCTGTTTGGGCCATGTTTAACAAGATATTATTATATGTTCCCGACATACAATTTTTCTCAAACTTGGTTCGAGGTTACTTCACAATATGTTCTTCTAGGATATTTTATTCAAAAGTGGGGCACGTAATCGAAAAGTACAAAATTTGGGGTTGAAATACTGATATTTATTACTTTTGATGTAAAATTCCTGTTTGGGCCATGTTTAACAAGATATTATTATATGTTCCCGACATACAATTTTTCTCAAACTTGGTTCGAGGTTACTTCACAATATGTTCTTCTAGGATATTTTATTCAAAAGTGGGGCACGTAATCGAAAAGTTCAAATTTTCGGGGTAAAATGCCGATATTCACTAACTTTGATGTAAAATTCCTGTTTGGGCCATGTTTAACAATATATTATTATATGTTACCGACATACAATTTTTCTCAAACTTGGTTCGAGGTTACTTCACAATATGTTTTTTTGAGATATCTTATCTAAAAGTGGGGCACCTAATCGAAAAGTACAGAAATTTGGGGTTAAAATGCCGACATTTATTAATTTTAATGTGAAATTTCTTTTTGGCCATGTTTGACAATGTAATATTATATGTTCCCAACATATAAATTTCATAAAACTTGAATTAGGATGACTTCAATATAAGTTCTTTTTTTATATCATCTTCAAAAATCTGCCCGGCCATCGGAAATTACAGATAAGTTTCGTGTAATTCCGAGTGTAGCAAAATTTCGCCGTAAATCTGGCAAGTACTTTGCGACTAGCTTTCCTTTTTTCCGATGCGGCATTTAAGTGCCATGTTAAATCGTTTTCTGGCAACGCTATTTTACCGTTCCGAAAACGAGAGAGATGTCCGCTGAGAGATGTCTGCTAGGGTAACTTTGGTACTTACGGTACCGGTACCGTTCCATTCCCGATGTCGCTGTGTCTTTGTGTCGGGTATGGGATTAGTAAGGTACGGTATTGGTTTTTGGAAGCATAGACTTGATGGTGTAGGAAGCCGTAACGGGTCTAGTATAGTTTAGTACCACAAGTACTTCCGGGGGGCGTAGCATAACGAATTTTGCATATGCTATTCCTAACCCCCACCTGACTATGCCATCCAAAAATTAAGTCACTACGACGTCACCATCACGTCATAGACTCATAGGGATTGCCAAATTATGATCGCCCGAAATGACATCTGCGCCGCCAATAACAAACTTGCTAAAGCCGGCGATCTCTCTCCTATCGTGACGGGAAAACGGGAGAAATTGATTGCTCGATTTCGGGTGATCGTCTGCGCGTTTTGGACGACCATCCGCATACTTCGGTGGGCTTTATTACGCCACTGTGACGTCGAAATGATGTAATTTTTTGGTGACGTAGTCAGGTGGGGGTTAGGATTGACATATGCAAAAATTGTTGAGCCAGGTCAACTAGAACTGTAGAAGTACATGTGGTACTAAACTATACCAGACCCGCCGTAACCGACCAGCGGTTACGTGATCCACAGAGACAACGTTGCACGATCTGTATAGTGTGCCGTACTAACTTTGTTGCATTAGGTTCTTCTATTCACAATATCTTTTTGTTTCGATTACCTTCAAAAACAACGGAGATACAATTGTCCTATCGAGTGGTACTAAAATGTGGATATCTCCGTTATTTCTTGACTGTTTTTCACAAACTTGTATTTTCATTTTTTACTTAGATCTATACACTGGCGCAGTTTTTATTTAAATCGGACGAACTTTAATTTTTTTGTAACATACCCTTTAAAAGAGTTTACGAACTTGTGTATTACTCCCAGACTGCTGTACTGTATTACAAATAAAAGTGTTTTTACTGTAACTTTTTATTGAATTTTTATAGAATTCTATTTCAATAATTTAGTAATTAGTTCCACAGGCCAGGGCTATCTCTTTTTAAGTTGAATTGTTGTGTTGTCTCTTGTCATCTGCTTTTATTGATATCTCTGCCACATAGCTGCATAGCGGGCGGTCTTGAATAAACTTGTTCCTCAGCACCAATAAGTACTACCGTACCATTGTTTGAGCAAAAGAAAAAAAGGTGTGGGTGGATGTGACTATTAATTTTCGATTTGTATTAATTAGAGATGCTTATGATCTTGTGTTTGTTATTGGGTTGTCACTGCTACAGGAGTGGTGACTCCTTTACGGCCCATGGGCCGGGGCCACAGCCCATCTAATTGGGCCACATGGGCCGTGGCCCATCAAGCTATGGGCCGCGGTCCCATCAGGAAAAATACAATTATCTTACCAAAATTTTCAATTTTTACAAAATTGTCAATATTCAAATCAAAAAACAAATCGCGCTATGTCACCAAATTTTTTTCTTACGATACTCATTTGTATCAAAATAAAGCAAAATACCAAGATACAGAAAAGAATACTCCTGTAGTATGTGTACCAGGTTAGGGTTAGAAAAAAATTCTGTTCGGATTTTTTACATTATAGTTCTACTATGAGTTCGAGGACTGTCTGTGTTAGCCAAGTGAATAGTCCCTTTGCACAACTTGTTGGGCAGCGGCCCATAGCCTGATGGGCCAACCCAATTCGATGGGCCGTGGCCCGGTCTTATATTTAATCACCGAGGTCACACAGGCAGGTCAAAAATATTCTTAGCCTTGTCAGTTGTCATCTTTATTACCATCTCACAGTCTTAAGTATATCTCAGGGTTTATTCAATTGATAATTACCAGTATATACTGATATATGTCAGTACTGCAGTATGTAGAAAATTAGCTGAAGTTTTATGTGTTCTTGATTTCGAAATGCTAAACAGGAAATTTTTCTTCCAAGATCTATACTATACTGCGGTAATTCTGTTACCATTGTATAGTAGCCTGTATAGGTATTATTTATTATATCAATTCTAATGTGCATATTTTTAAACAGTATATTGTTACATGTACTTACTTGGTCAGTCCTCCATTGAGTGAGTAACCTAAAGTATTTGGTATAGCAACAAATATCACTCAATAATGTCGGATGAAATTACACAACAGTTACAGGATCTTCAAACTGCGGATCTGAGGGAAGAGGTAAGAGGCAGTTAACATATTTGTAATTCTCTGGCCTGTTTAAGGAATGTTAGTAAATTTGATCAAATAAAATTTCTGAATAATAATAAATACAGGATTTTAGCTTTCAGAATTACTGGTTTTATTCATGGGCTCTATGTACTGCATATGATGGAAGCATTCATTCAGGTATTAGGATAATTTTAGTGGGTTGCATGCAGTTTAGACTCCGCAAATCACATTCTTGGCCAGACACACAATTTGGCATGCAAGAATCTGCGCAGGATAAATACCACTTTATACGTGTTCAAAACAGGGATTGGCAAATGAATCATCATCAATGATTATATAAATTTGCAACCCTCCACTATGTTTATTAATATAAAAAATAATATGACTGATAGAACTAGGTATCGGGAGATCCAAAAGGAATCAAATATTCAAATAAAAGAGATTTGAGCAAAGTTATGGACTCTCAGTGAAGCGCTAAGATTTAACGAGACTATAAATAATTATAGCGTTGAATTTTACATTACTGAAAAAATTACTCATTACTCAAAAATTCAATAAAAATTACGCACCCATCAACCTTTCACACTACCTAGTTATTTTTATTTTGTTGTCCAAGTATGATAATAGTCTCGTATCTTTGCCCACGTTTAGGCGGTCAATGTGGACTCAGATGTGTGCATGTAGGTTCTTGACACTTGCGAGATTTAACTAAACGTTTTTGCAACCAATTCGGTACCAGAAAAACGAAAAGTTGATGCGTCGGGGCCAATATTGATACCACACTTATCAAACACTCAATATGATGGCGGGAAAGAAAATGCTTATCAAAAAGCAGCTTCACCTTTTCGGGTTTGGTGAAGCGGTAGCGCTGGCAGAAAACAACAAAACAATTAAAACTCATGAACCTCCAAAAAGGCTTCGCGCAAAGTCAACTGTCCATGGACCAGCTGTTGGAAACCACTGTTTCGAAGAGCAGAAAATTGTTATCATATATCACACTAACATGAATGGCAACACAAACAATTTTTCTTTTAAAATCGTACACGATGTACAAGTGAAGTGAGGACATACAAGTAAAATAGTGACAATCTCAAGACAACATGAATGCAGAAAATAAATGAATGATATATGCCAAGATGGTGCTCAAACTGTTTGGAATTCATTGCAATTTTATGTCCCTAAATATCAACCGGTTTTCGAAAAAAATATTTCTCATGTCGCGCATTGAGTTGCCATAGAACGATAGAAATTGTTAAAATTAATATCTAGAAGTGTGACTACCTGATATCGGACATTCATGCATGATATGCCGTTATACACAAAAACAAGGTCATTTCTCATATGTAGCATCAATTTACATCTGTTTCTTTTGCCAGTATGACAATCGTTATCAAAGAGTTTTCGTCAGTCATAGAATAAATGTCATTCTGTGATATAGTTTTAAGCTACCTACATTCTTTCCATGCTGCCACGCTTGGCAATTCTTTTATAAACCATGCATTGTAAATAATTTATTTTGCTCATTATTCGATGACTGCAACTTGTTTCATCATAAGTATCAAATATCTCAATCCATATGACAATAAGCCAACTAACAGCGATACTGTATCCTAAACACGATTAAATGTATGTCGGTGTTAAATTATCTTGAGATGGTAGCGCAATAAAGTATTCAAAATTCTGATTCTCCGGCCAACAAACAACGCTTTTTGTTTGTTCTAAGTAGAAGGCAAAAACTGCTATCGAAAAAACTAATATAGTTTTCTTAAAGTTTGCATCTTCTTACTGTTGTTTTACATATTTCCATTTACCATTAATTTATTTATTTCAATTGAAATATTTTATGCTGAGACACATAAAATTCAACTTTGTGGAATTTAGATACATTACTTTACCAATACCACCTATTTCCTACTTCCTCAAAATCTAGATTTAATGAATTGACAGAAATGAGAATATGTGATTTCACTCACTATTTACTATATATCAACAAATGTTTAATATTGTGAAGTTATGAAATGAATTAAATTTTGATTAATGACTACCGTATGGACTGGTCTCCAGTAATTTTGAAGTTTCATAAGTGAATCTTTGGTATAAAAAGGTTGAGTAGTCTATTATTTATAGCTGTTTCAGTGCTTCAAATGGTTTTATGTATGACAAAGAGCCAAAACATCATGCCACTTGAGAATTCACTGGGTAAAGAATGTTATTACGGTATTAATAATAATAATCTTTTGACTCTCTTCTGTTTTCTTACAGTCAATCTATACAATTCCCTTTTCAGGCCGACGAATCGTCAAAACCAGCTCGGCCACCACCCAAAGTTGCTTTGTTTGTCAAGGTAAATAACTTATTTAGTTGGCCTATATAAGGATTTCAGTTTGCAATTTACATTTTATTGGATCATTAAACACATTCTCTTGAATGGTAGTTTCAAACTAATTTTTATTAGGCTTGGCTTTAAATCTAGTTTTCGATAAGTAAGCCGGATGGTGGGTTTTTGCTTTAACCATAGAAAAACATCTTTGAATGCATTTTATTTATACATGTCTTAGTCTATGTTGTATTTAAATTCATCTCTTATCAGTCGGCGGTCCTAAGTTAATCCAATCTTATGATCATATTATGTTTGAGAAGGATCCACGCCCATTATTTATTTAATAACATCTCATATAAATTCCATTTACCGTTATAATATGTGTAATAAACCTCCATCAATCACATTCCATAATCTCAAAAATGTTTTACTCTAAATAAAAAACAAACCCATGTAGTTGAATATTTTTTATTTTATTAAAAGTATGTTAGACATTGACAATATTGACTTACTAGGTAGTCAAGCCGACAACAATAAACCACAATAATCTGGGCACAACCTATATTTAACTCAGTGCCTCAAGGCAATTGAAACTTCTTCATAGCCTTCAATTGAATGAAGGCATGTCTGTAATTGGTAGAACTGCGCATCTTATAAGTCATAAAAAGTAGGGCGGTGCCATTCATAGGCTTAGAATTCGTATTGGTTTGCTAGTATGGATGGGAAAGATAAAAGAAAACATGTTATTAATTTATATGTGAAGGTGAGTTCACTTCCTATTAAATATCCTATTTTTTATCATTATCCTGAATTACCATGTTGCTAGACCTAATGCTATTAGTTCTCAATCCTATTGTTATCAAATTGTTAGGATCAAAATTGTATATTACTGACCAAATAAATATGTTTATTATTGAGTTGTTGTTATATCATGTCACGATGTCCTGTAGGTTGGGACATAGGACCTATGTGTTTGGTTATCACTGAACAGTTTAACTGAATCAGAAACCTTTATAAACAATTTACTACGGGCAAAATCATGAAACTCTTTGAACTGTTGTTAATGATAAAATCCTGAAGAATTTCAACCCATGCAATACTGATTTTTTTCTGATACAGCTACTGCCTCCCTTCTTAATAATTAAATACATTCCTGCACCACTTTCTTATTTACCCCTAATGACATTTTCAGGCCGGTTCTGACAAAGAGTGTATTGGGTGTTGCCTATTTTCACAACGCTTATTCATGCTATTGTGGTTGAAGGGAGTTGTGTTTAATGTAACAACTGTGCATCATACACGGTAAGTTAATTTTTCATCATCTTATTACAATCTAAACTTGACATAATTACAGCTAGAATGGAAATAACAGAATTGCCATTCCTTAGCATATTTTGCTAACAAAATTCCAGACCAATTGACTTTTCCTCAATTTATCCTTTCCAAACCATTTCCAGTTTCAGAATCGATTCGCTACATTAGGCATTATGACAAGTAGATAACAAAAACTTAGGAAACGCCAGACATGTGTGCATGGGTTTAAACTTATATGTTGTACAGTATTTGTGACAAGTTGCCAAATTGTACATTTGAACGTAGTGTATTGGTATTAGTGTATACCTTATACGATCGAGGACACCCCAGTACACAATGTGGTACACCCTTGGGTGTACTATACCCAGACTCAGTTAACCAGCACTGTTCTAATCCTTGTAGATATTCCGAAACTATGTTTTATATTGAATTTTCAATTTTTTTCGGTCACAGGGTCAAGGAATATGCCGTTGGAGGAGAACGTCCTCCTTTTATGATATTCAATGGGGAAACCCTTACAGATATCCCCAAATGTGAGGATTACATTGAGGCAGAACTGCATCCACCAAACTATCCCATCTTGGCCTGCAAATATGCCGAGAGTGCCACTGTTGGGAATGATATCTTTGCCAAATTTTCTGCATTTATCAAATTCAACGGTGACCGCAGATCAGAGGATGCCAAAAGTATGTATTGTTTATATATTGAAGTGTATATGCGAAATGTCAGTTTTTTATCGGAGCTGTTTTTATTGTGAGAATCGAACAAGGTTGCATGCATTTACTCTTCTAAGCAAATGACCCTTACCTCTGAAAGGAAGGAACCACTGTCAACTGCTGAAATGTCAAGAGCTGGTCAATGCAATTTAATGAGATTCTGATAAATTCATGTTCCAATATTTCTGAAACATTCTACAAATGACATAACAGTAGTCAGCTATAAATTTATGGTTTGTTTGATAGTGATGAGTTTGTTTTCGCTGATTATGTCTAAATTGCTTTCAAGTCCATACAGAGCCCTGGTTAGAGGAGAGAGAATAATTGTTGTGAATGCAGTTTATGATCATCATTCGTCGGCATTCGATGCCTTTTTATTTCTCTATTGAAGTCGATGTGTACCATGCATGAGCCTAATAAGTGGTGTTCATATCCATTCTGAATTGAACTTGAATTGGAGTTCTGTAACATGTAACCATCCAGGTTAACTGATCTCTAGAGCAGCATTTCTTAAGCTGGGGTAAATTTCTTCATTATTAGGGGTATATTTTATTATAGTGAAAAAAGATTTTGAATACTATAAACAAAAACCACATCTATTTGCTTGTTTTGTTGCGAGAAACCTTGTGCTATTGGTAAGTCGCAAGAAATCAGTAGGACTATATTTCAATCAAAATTGAAAACCAACATCTAAATTAGTCGAAATAAAATTAAACTTCTTAAGTCGAATTCTTTGGTATTTTAATCATTACATTAAATTTAGTCCCAAACACTCTAGAATTTGTTACAACAGAATGTCACAAAAAAAGAGAAATTATTAGGACGATTACTTAGATTTTGGATTCAGGTATCTTATTTGGTATGGTCTTCAATCTTCATATTCCTCATTGTGTTCTGTGCATGAAAACCTTTTCAAAAATATCATGAAACCTACCTCATCTTTTAGTTGAGATTGTCCTGTTTAATAATAATGAGTCAGAAGCTGGACAAATCCAGCACTTTTTGGCAAACTACAATACTGCTATACATACATCTTTTGCAATTGCTTTATATGTGGCAAAAGGTAAAAAAACAAATATGCTTGTTGAAACCTTCCTGAAACCTTGTATATTGGAAAGTGTTGAGTTAATACTTGGCGAGAAAGCATCTCAAACAATGAAACAAATTTCGCTGTCCAACGACAAAATAAAATCTAGAATCCATGAAATGTATGACAATATTAAGAGCATGATGATTCCCCGCCACTCTCTCACCCCAACACTCTCCTCCGACTTTTCCCTCTCTCACTACTCTTTCCCCACCGGACCCCTCTCTTCCCTTTTTTCACGCCGAACTAAAGCTCCATGCAGAGGAGAAGATGGGTTACAAGGAGAGTGAGAAAGAGAGAATTCATGTCTAAGATTTCTTTATACACAAAGTGCTCTTCACACTTTGCTTGACGAGTTTTTAGTAAACGGCCACCAGTGGCTGTATTGGGGGTAAATCTTGTTTGATAAAAGGGTAAAACATGCAAAAAAGATTAACAAGAACCACTGCTCTAGAGTTCAGTTGCAATGCACAGGTTGACACCAAATAACAAAGGATTAGCGTATAAATGTGTTTGAATAAGGTAGAAACTTTACATAAATAAAATTTGTCAATGATCAATATAGTTTTTAAATATTAACTTTGTCAAGACTATGGAATGATTTGTAATTTCTGAATAAAATGATCATGGTTGTTTATTTCAGCTTCAAAATTACGTTATTCAGATAGATAGCGGATTGGATCTCAAAATCTTTCATAATAATTTTAATCCTTTACATTAACCAATTTATGCAAACTGAAATCTAGTGGGTTTGAACTCTATTAATAAATGACGTAATATTGTCAACATTGACTGTTGGTTAAAGGTGTACGAGAGAGACAGAGTATTTATACAACCGTGATATCCATTGATGTTTGGTCACAATATCTGGTATTCATCACTTGTATTATGAAATACCATATATTGCTGATAGAAACACATTGTATTTGTAACTTGCAAACATTCAATTAATTTGGTTTGATGTTGCCAGAACTTGTCCTGTGTCCATCTATGTATAATGTGTCTGAATTCTCCCTATGAAATATGAATTGGTAAATCACTATTTTTGTTTGATATTGTAATCTTCGGATGAAGTGTAATATCAAATAATAATATATGTCATATTGTCTTTTCTCATTTATAGAAAGAGAGCAAGGCTTGGTTGCTGCATTGAGAAAGTTGGACAACTACCTGAAAAAACCACTAGACCATGAAATTGATGCAGATTCTGATGATAATGAAGGAGAATCAACTCGAAACTTCATTGATGGCAGCTACATGACAATTGCTGATTGTAACATGCTTCCCAAGCTTCATATCATACGGGTAATAAATAAGTCTTTGTTGTTGTATTGTATTTATATAATCATATTACAGTTGGTCATGTTCATCTCGATCACCTGGAGCCGTGGCATTTCGGTGGAACTGTAGCCAAGCTTAGCATATTATATGGAGTCGAAGCTGGAGCTGCTAGAAATTTTAGTGGTTCCAGTCAACCCTATTATACTTTCCAGCTTATAATTTTTTTTTATAAATTCCAATTTATGATATTAATTTCAAGTTCTCAGAGTGAATTTTTATATTTGAAAGTTTAATTTCGAAATTTAAAAACCCCTTTATCACAGTTTTGTATCCTGTTTTTGCAAAACTGGGTTCAGACTGTACTGGTGTTCCATGTATGTGGTCAAGCTCAAAAACCTGAATGGCTATAGAGTCAGAGCTTGAGCCCAGTCACAATATAACAAATTTTAAGCACTGTAGTTTCACAGTTTGAATATACTGTGACTCTGGAGACGCTGTGATTTCTAACCACCAGCTCCCTAGCCCTGGTGTTGGCACACAAAAATCATTTTAACTAAATGGGTCGAACATTTTTAACACAAAGAAAAATGTGGGTCAGAGTCATGGATTAATGCCTGCAATATGATGTAAATACAAGTAAAATGGAGACTGTTAAATTCAGGTCATACAACGGTGTAACAGATGTCCCGTAATGCCGCATAAAAGCTTCCTGAGAATAGGACGCTGCTGACAAGCGAATGTTCAACATTATCAGTTTTCTACTCGGGTCTTTTTTTCAAATCAAGTAAAATTTTACAAATCGGTTCAAAAGTGGCTATTTAGGCATGAAGGAATTCTAAAAAGTTAAATTGAATTTCGAAGCCTTATTAAAGACTGTATAACATTCTTTTCTTGAACACTTCTTCCGATTAATATGCAATATTTATTAATGTTAGATTCATTACATTTACAAGACGGGACCAGATATATAACAGTTGTATTGATATATAATTTTAATCTCATAATGTTATGTTGTACATCACAAAAATTCACGATGTCGGTTTCATATTTTCCTCTTCAATTTGTTCATGCGACAGGTACATAAATAACACTCCCACGCAATGAAAACTATGGTTATTTCCTTATTCAATGTGTGGTGTATGTCTGAAGATGAATATAATAAAGTAATTCATATTTAGGACATTAATGTCTTGTCCAAATAATAAGTAGATTAAAAAAATTCAGTCAGTGGTAAAATTGTACAACCCTGTCCTGTTTTTTGAAACACAATTGTTCAGAATCCTTTTCTTTAGAGTAAATTACAAATCCAAATATGAAGCTGCTGCTAGTAGTTGTTTATGTAATACGATTAAAGACCATTTATTCGCTGTCCGGATAAAAATGGCACCTTTCAAAAGAAAATATACGAGGTGCGGCTAAAAAGAAACGGGACTGACGTCACAGATTGCGCAACACAATTAACCATCGGTAATCAACACTTTTGCAGTGTGGCGTAATATGTGTTCTTTGTTTAACAGCTGTTTTGACACAATATCGCAATTATTTTTGCTTTTCAGGATCCATAAGTGAATGTGATAAATTTCTTGTTGAAAGAAAAATGCTGTGCGGGGTCTGATTGAGTTTTTTGGCGATAGGGGGTTCAATTAAAGAATGACGATTGAGCAAAGAATTAATATTAAATTTTGTGTCAAACTTGAAGAAACGGCGACTGAGACTTTGCAGATGTTGCGTGATGTTTATGGAGATTCTTCCATGTCCAAAACAAGAGTTTTTGAATGGCACAAGCGATTTGTGGAAGGCAGGGAGAATGTGGAGGATGATCCGAGATCAGGGAGGCCTTGCACTTCCACTACTGATACCAACATCGAAAAGGTTTGGCAGTTGGTTTGCAGTGACCGTCGCTTAACAATTCGCGTCATTGCCAACGAAATTGGGATGGACAAAGAAACGATCCGCACCATTTTGGTTGACACTTTGGGAAAGCGAAAGGTGTGTGCCAAAATGATGCCAAAGGCTCTTGAGTTGACTGAGGAGCAGAAAGCTCAACGATTGAATGCATGCCGAGTTGACATGCATTTTTCCAAGTTTGACACAAAATTTAATGTTAATTCTTTGCTCAATCGTCATTCTGCAATGGAACCCCCTATCGCCAAAAAACTCAATCAGACCTCGCACAGCATTTTTTTTCAACAAGAAATTTATCACATTCACTTATGGATCCTGAAAAGCAAAAATAATTGCGATATTGTGTCAAAATAGCTGTTAAACAAAGAACACATATTACGCCACACTGCAAAAGTGTTGATTACCGATGGTTAATCGTGTTGCGCAATCTGTGACGTCAGTCCCGTTTCATTTTAGCCGCACCTCGTACTCCTATAAATTTTGTTCTCTAAATATTTGATATTTTCTCTTATTATATAGATTGCTGGTAAAGCTCTTGCCGACTTCGAAATCCCACCTGAATTCACGGGTATTCATCGCTATCTTCATGCAGCTGATCAAACTGAGGAGTTTGTCCAAACATGTGCAAGTCCGGAGGAGATCATTGCAACTTACGGAGGAGGATCTAAACTTCCACATAAAAAATAATGACACCGGGGTGATATTATAGTGCTCGTTGGTATTATCTACTCTTCTCAATCAGTGACCTATTTGTATTGTGTATATAATGAACAAAAAATCTAATCTTTCATATCATGATGTATTTTGTTAACTTTAATTGATGATTCGTGACTTTCATATCGATATTTTAGCGTGTTACATACATTCATGTAGTGATCATCTGAAATGTATAGCATTTTGATAATTGCATGCTTTTGAATTTTTTAGTTTACCATACTATACTATAGAAGAACGTGTATCAAAATTGATTTAATGGTAATATCGTTTGATAACTAAGTTTTGCTCGCTACCTGAAATCAGGGGTGGGAACGTTCTTGGTATATCGGTCACTAAAATTGAAGATAATCCCAAGCGGGTCAAATAAAATTAAATGTTATGTTAGAAATGCACATTCTATTTCTACTATTCCCAAATTAAGACAAAAAAGTTTGCTGAGGTAATATTCAATGACATCTTTAAAAACGTACGGCCGCGGCGCTTCTCTGAAATATAGTAAAAAAAACAGCTGTTTTGACTATTATATTCTTTACGAACTGGAATTTATTATGAGGCACATGTTGACTAAATTATATTATAACCGATCAAGTATATAATTCACCATTACTCGTTTAATAAGCCTATGATTAGACAAACTGCAACAAACGCAGAAAATGTGATGCTAAGGGTCCAATGGTGCAGAATATGCATAATATAAAAATGAAATTTTTTGAGATATGATTCGTGTGAGAAAATGCGATCCATCCGTTCGGTTTTTAACGTTCTAAATACATGTGCGGCCCGCCAATGACTTACAACCCTAAATTTTGGCTCGCGAGCGACCCGAGGTCGGTGACCCCTGCTCTACATAATATAACCCAAAAGTGCTGAATCCAAGGTGCTGATATTTTACTTCATGGTGTTTAATGTATTGCAGATATACACTTGTCTTGTGATAACCATTCTAAAGGTAATGCAATGGAGTTATATGGTTAGCTGAGCATAATAAGTTGTTTCGAGATTACAACTGATGTCTTTTCAATAGAGGAGTAGTTATAGTTATACATATGCACATTATGGTATACTCTATAAACATGCAATCAAGTTTGTTGTTTGCGTTAAATTTTAACACAGGTTCAAAGTTTCCCACCCTTGCTTTAAATGATTGTACATAATTGTAATAAACCTTTATAATATGATTAATATCATAATTTTCGTATTTGTTTGGATCTCTCAACTTGATGCTGCAAATGTTTGGATCTGGATAATAAATCATTAGACCAAGTAGTTCTATTTGATTATCATAGCCGAGTTATTTTGTGATTAAGACTTCGATAATTCAATAGTTGCAGAGTTTCTTTTCTAGTCACAATAAAAAACAAAACTTGAATAGTTGATCATTTTTTAACTGATTCAACACCGTAAACATATACTAAAACGCTTTGCTCGTTCAGTGTTGCAGACTTTGGAAATGTTTTTTTCTCTTGTGTTTATGTACCAGAAAGTAATGTATGAATATTGTAAGTGAACATTATATCATGTCTGCTAGCATAATATTTTAATGTATTTCTTCAGTTCCTGACATGAAAGCTTGCTGACTTTGGCAAAAAACAATTGATGTGACAAGTTTGTTGAAATGAGTATTTGCCTAACAAGATTGTTATTTTGCTAGTTGATGTTTGGAAAGCCCACTTTTGTTTGAAGAATTAACCTGTTATGAATCCCGTTGATTTTGGAGAGAAACTAATATACAATTTTGTCCAACCTCCTAACGTATTAAATTTTATCAATGTGTCTGTTTGATTTGTTTTATTTCTGCCTAATTTCATTTACAAAATACGGTACATTTCCGTCAATTTATGTTCTGAAGTTTTTTCTTAGGGCATAACATTAGTGTTCGGATTAACATTTTGTTCAAAATATTTTCCTTAATGTGATTTTCACGGATATAAAATTCACTTGCTGTAAGACGAATAAACTTTTGCCATTATTGATTTATTTGAGTAAATCAAGTAATGTGATTTGTTGCTTTTTCTGCTCAATTTGTATAATCTTTTCTTTGGTGAATTGTGGTTTGTTTTCAATATCATATTATGTTTGGTATATTGGTGAATATTATGAGTAACCTTATATTATCCTTTCAAATGTCTGAACAGCCTGCACTAGGGAGGTTCCCCCAACCTTTACAACCTTGTGTTTTCTTGGAAAAATATGAAATTACTACGAACAAGTAATTTGAGCATAGCTCATCTATCCCCATCATTCTCGAGAAGAGAGAACCCTGAGAATACTGTATCTTGTGTATGCTAGCTCGCTTTTATAGACTGTTATGGAAATTTATTAAACTTTGTGATTTTTGAGTTCATGCAGAAAATTTCAATACTTTTCCCCATCAAAAGGCCCCCGATTTAGGGGGTTCAAAATTCAGACTCCAGCCAGTTCAAGAAGTTCAGTCGAACTCCAGTAAAACGTGCCAATTTCCCCACACAGTCCTGCTTATAAGCCATTGTGGCTGAAGTTAACAAGGAAAGTTACAGGTTGGCGGAACATCCAGTATGTTCAGTGTACACAAAATAAATTCCGATCTCAATTGCATCACTCTCACTGCATCATTCTGTAGTTTTATCAATAAATTTCACAGATATAAATGATCTGGTCTGTCTGTAAGCATATCTAAAAATCACAAAAGGGCATTCAAACAGTCAACTATTGAACAATCCATTTGATTAAAAGGATCTAAGTCCCTGATTGTTTGGACATCAGTGTGAACAATCCATTTGATTAAAAGGATCTAAGTCCCTGATTGTTTGGACATCAGTGGTGGCCATAGGTTTCGGGCAATATATATAACAAAGCAGCTCATCCTAGCCGTTCGGACCACATCTGTTTCTTCTAGATCAAAGATGTACAATAGGCGGATCGCGGGCCACAACCCGGCTCGCCAAGCCATTCAGTGAGGCACTTGTCAACACCAAGCATAAAGCACTAATCCAACAGTATGTTTAAAAATGCACTTATATGGGTAAAATCAGTGGCGGCGCGTCAATAGGGATTGCCCCGGTTGTTTTTTCGGTATAATAAAAAATATTCGAAAAATACCTCAATATCGGTTGCACAGACTGTCTACACTAGCCATATTCTCCCGACATGGTTCATTTTTCGCTCGCAAAGCCTTCGCCGAACGTCGACGGGGCGACGCCGATTTTGACGCGGTTGCTCATTGTATATCGTATTCTCTCTTTTATCTTCCACTCGCCGCGTTTGTCTCGTTTGTTTTCTTTTTCTTTTACTAAATCATCGGGGCTAGCCCCGAAATTATGACGACACAATGCCGACGTTTCTTACAACAACGTGTTGACACATTCACGCATTCCTTCTCGTTCGTTGGTTGCTTGAAGCGTCGATAGTTTCCTCGCCTTCGTTTTTGTCGCTTGTTTCGCTATTTGAATCAGTTAGAGACCTTTAGTCCATTTGCTTTCGATTTTCCACATTCCTTTTGAGCTCCTCACTTCTTTCCGGCTTCGCATTTCTTAGCCTTAGACCTCATAATGAATAAGGTTGACACTACTTCGCACTCCGTTTTCGCAGCTGCCGCTGGAACAAAAATTAGAGGTACAACGTCTTGGGCCTTATCAACCAAAAAATTGTTCACTGGAACAATCCCATGACGGAGGAAAGCGTCGGCGTACATTCTGCGCAGAAACTTGGTATAAAAAACACGAATGGTTGTGTTACAGCGAGGACAAAAATGCACTTTTTTGTTTTTATTGCCTACTTTTTGCTACCGCCCGTGACTCACGTTGGTGTAAATTTGGTTTTAGAGATCTTAAACATCTTTCCGAGCGTGCCAGGGATCATCAATCTTCTATGGAGCATCTGGGCAATGCAGTAAAATACCGAACATTCGGAAATGTTAATATTGCAGCACAGTTGGATGAAGGACGCGCGGTTTCTATTCGTCGGCACAACCAAAACGTCGAGAAAAACCGCCATGTTCTCGGTCGATTGATAGATGTTTTAAAGTTCATTGGTTGTCACGAGCTGTCCCTCCGTGGGCACGATGAACGGGCTGGCTCTTCTAATAGAGGGGTATTTTTGGATATGGTTAGGCTTACCATACGTCCCGGTTTAGCCGGGACAGTCCCAGTTTTGACAAGCTGTCCCGGCCGGTTGAATCAAATGTCCCGGTTTGTCAGCACGGCTTTCATGGGTAAAAAAATTATATTCATTATTATCACAATTTTTTTTTTCTAACGGTGACAGCCCATTTACCACTGTTTTGCGACACACTTTGCTAGTTCAGAGAGAGAAATCGCTCTATTGTTACGTCACAATTGATATATGTTTAAATGCGTTTTCTGGCGTTAACTGCAATGTCGTTAGGTTGTCGAAATGCCAAAAAGAAAGTACAAGTTTTCTGATGAGTTGAAGAAAGATTTTTCTTATTTGAAGCAAACTGAAGAAGGAAAGGTACACTGTACGCATTGCAGATCTGTTTTTCTATTAGTCATGGCGGTCGTTCAGATGTCAACGATCATATCCAAAGCAGGAAGCACAAAACATTGAGGATCGACTCGACTGACCAATTTTGCGATAACAAATTCGGATGATTCTGTGTCGTTGCCAGCCGACATTTGCCTATCACACTGCTATTCATGACCAAAGTTTTGACTGCACCTCTAAATTAATTTCAAATTTTTTTGAGGCTAAATTTGCATTAACTTGTAAATATACACAGTTAGAATTTCTGATGTCCGCTGTCTGATAAGCGGATTCGCTGATTTTGCACGTTCAGCCAGAATTAAATGAGAGTTGGTGCATTGCTCCGCTGTTTTCCTCTGAATTTAATGATGATTTACTTCAAACTCGAATGGCAACAAAACGCAGAGAAGTTGATGCTAAGTGCAAAGGGTTCAATGGCGCTGAAAATATTCAAATGGAATTTTTTGAGATGCAATGAGGAAATAAATCTATATTCTATTCGAGAGATGTATCACTGCTTGATTTTTAATATAAAAAGTATCATCCGTTCAGTTTCAACTTTCTAAAAATATGTGCGGCCCGCCAATGACTCGCAACCCTTAATTTTGGCCCGCGGGCGACAAAAGGTTGCCGACCCCTGCCGTAGATGTTGCAAATATTCTGTCAGAGGTGAAGCTAAATTTGCAGGAAAAAAAAGTCTGTTGGTTTCGTCGCAATCACTTGTACTTCTGGAATCCTAGGAACGCTCTGTCGAAATTGACGTAACTGTATTTAAAAAGAATGTTTGCGATTTTTACGAGAAATGTCTATCGTATATAGATGAAGCCTACAATGCTACCAGGCCACACATATGGACAAATTTGAAGAGTGAAATAAACTGGACTGAAGTGTTTGGTCTGCAAAATTGATAAATGATATGTTTGGTTAGCTGATTAGGTTTTGAATAGCGATGCACTTTTCGACGAATACTGATAAAAAGAAATTTATCTGAGCATGGTTCAAATGCAATTTGGCTTGCTTTGCCGGTTGAAATTAAGTAGACAGAGATGTTTAACGTTTTTTTTAACAGAAATACTAGCATTTCGAATTTGCAGCAAATTAGTTGATTTTGTTTTCCGAAACATCGGCATCTGTTGAAAGGATTTTCTTCATTGTTAAAAAATTTTGGTCCGAAAGCAGGTGCAGAATGCCAGAAGAAAATATAAAACCACTCCGTAACCTGCAAATTTAATGGTGATGTCTCTTGTTATCAGTTTTATGACAAAATCAAAAAAAGAATTTTTGAGAAAGGTTCCATCTGCGGACAAATACTTTTGGTCTAAACTAAATGAATAATACAAACTAGTTTTTTCTAATTCAATGATCAGTAGAGATTTACAGCCGTATATACCCGCAATGGCATGGTAGACGTTCCAATATTATCAAGACTGGCAATTGACCGAATGTTTGCCAAATCGCACGGTCCCGGTTTTTTGTTTCATATTTATGGTAAGCCTAGATATGGTGGAATACACCGCATCCCTAGATACAGTATTGAGAGATCATCTTGATGCCGCAACTGTTTCGAAAGGGACATCTAAGGATATCCAAAATGATTTGCTCGACTCAATGTATAAAATTTATTTACAACATTTGGCTCTGGAAATTGAGAATTGCCAGTTCCTTTCGATTCAGTCTGACGAGACAACTGACATCACGTGCGTTTCTCAACTGGCTGTGATTTTTCGGTTTGTGAAAGATGGTAAACCTACCGAGAGATTTCACAGCTTTGTACCAATCGTTGATCGCACGGCTTGCGGGATATCGGCTGTACTGAAAGAAGTGTTACAGCCTTACAACGCGAAGTCATAATTGATAGCTCAAACTTATGACGGCGCGGCAGTCATGAATGGGTCGAAACATGGTGTTCAAGTTTATATAAAAGAAGATTTTCCTCATGCGCATTTTATACATTGTTATGCACACCAATTTAACCTCGTTATTAAAAATATGTGTATTGATACTCCTCTCGTCCGTATATTTTTTGCAAATGTTCCTGGGTTTTCTTCATTTTTTTCCGTTTCGCCGAAGCGCTCTGACCTCCTTCGCCAGATATGTAGCCGCCGTCTCCCAGCTTGTGCACCAACACGTTGGAACTTCCAATCACGCGTGGTGCAGGGCGTGTCCGAAATTAGGTCTGAGCTCATTGAGTGTTTCAATGGCATTCAGAGCTCTCCGGTTTGGAACGAACGCTATGTGAGGGAGGCGGCAGGTCTAAAGCGTCTGCTAGAAGATGGTGAGTTTTAATTTTTTCTCACTTTTCTCTCCACAATATTCCATCATGTATTATACGGCGCATTGCAGTCACAGCTAATGGATGGAGCATCTTTGCAGTCGTGTATTTCAGACTTCTGCGATGCTGTATCTCGTATCCGGGAAACAATAAAATACGACGACACATAGAGTGCTTCTTTACGCCGCGGGCAAACAACGCAGCGTTTGATTTTGTCTGCAAAGGAATGCTGTGACATTCTGGTGAATCAAATAGGCGATCGTCTGCGCACTGAACACCTTGCCGCGTTCTCTTTGATGAACCCCAAAAATTCTTCAAAATTTGCACGTCAATTTCCCATCCATTTGTTGGCTACTGTCTCCAAATTTTACCCCATGATAAACGTGGGTAAATTGGAAAATGAATTGCGATGTATATACACCAATCAAACTTTTTTGAACATCACATCAACTTGCGCGCTCTATGGGTTCCTCATAGATAACACTCTAGTAACTACCTTTGCGGCGTCTGCAAAATTTCTGGACATCATTTTGACGACGCCTTTTTCTTTCGCCGACGCAGAGCGAACATTCAGCACGCTGAAGCGTATTAAAACGTATCTCAGAAACACAATGAAGCAAGATAGATTAAATTCCTTGGCTGTTTTATCCATTCACAGAGACGTTATTTCTGGGATGCATGACTTTAATCAGCGCGTTATTGAGCATTTTGCTTCCAAGAAACCGCGGCGTGTTGCATATATGTTCAAGCAGTAGAAGTCTAGCACCATATATATCTATGAGTGAGCGACGCATGTCCTTATCTTTGTATTAGCTTTCCTTTCTTCATAGTAACGTTTTAAACCTTATTTTAGGTTTTGTCTGCTTTCCCGAAGTTTCTGTTAATATGTCATTGTATTTATCTGGGTAAATATTGCCTTTCCTTTTGAAAGAGGTTTCAAAATAAAATATGTCTATATTTATTAATCCCTTGACTTGGACCGAGACACTTTCTTATCGTTAAAAATTGTCGCTTTTGCCGATTGGTTGTTACCGATGGAATGGTTTTTATACTCATAAAATGATGGGAGAACTTACAGCGCTCATCCTGTCCCCGTAGATGGGGGTGACTTGGTCCCGCAGTAGCTTGCCCCGGTTGTCAAAATGACCACGCGCCGCCACTGGGTAAAATACATATTTTCGCCCGTGTCGCTGGGTTAAATCTTTCGCCATTCATTCATATTCATTACCTTCCATGATTTTCCTTACGAACAATTCATCTTCATCAGACATCTTATCATATTGAGCAACGACACAATCCTTCTCACAACTACTGCTCGCATTGTGGGGACAGCCTTTCTTATTTTTTGCAGAGAAAATTTTTTTTCAAGCTGCTCATCTTGGTCTTTTTTTGCATTCTCGGGGGAATCTCTTTTAGTACAGGCATATATGTTAAAACCTAGTCTTTCTTCTTTTTCGGGGGCGCTTGGTCTTTCTTTGAGAAGCATTTGATTTTTTTTTAATCTCGCTTGGCGATAGGTACGATGATCATGAATTTGATAAGTCCGGATCTGGATTGTTATTTTTCTGGAATTGAGATGCTGAGTCATTGCCTTTGGTGTAGGAATGCAAGGAATTTCTGTACTACAGCCTGGGGCAGTGGGCCCTTTCATTTTGAGAACTTCCCTGATACATTACGATCCACGCCAACGACTTCTCAGGCCGTCAAAGTTGCAGTGGCAAACTTTGCATCGGTAAAAAAATCGCGACTGTAAGGCTATATTCCAGTGCTTTGAAACCCAAATAAAATATTCCTCAATGTCATTGTGACATTTGAGCTTATTATTTCATATTTTGTCTTTTTTGAAACCCTAGCCACTATAAGCTTTACCCGCTCATTGTTTATCTTCCAATATGCCGGCATATGCAGCTGATTTTGAAAGTTCATAATTCATTTATTTTGAAAGTTTTTACGCTTGGCTATAAATCTAGGAAAGGTCATTTTATCGATGAAAAATGCTTCAGCTACACACCGCAATGATCGTTCGCAATATCTTCAATCAATTATATCCAGAGAAGTACTTACGGTTATGTTCGTTTTTCTTCTAAAAAACTGAGGCATCACCTAAAAAAAGCTGAAAACAGTATTGACAGCGTAAAATATATATTAATCTATTTAGCAGGGTTAGTCGAAACCAACGACTAACATACCGGTCGAAACCCGTATCAACCCACAGGGCTGCCACGATTGTATAATCCACTCAACCTGTGGCCACTTCGAAAAAATGGTCAAATCGTATTGCAAGGAAATATTCGTTTGCATCACTTAGTCACAGTGCCCGGAAAATATAAGTCATTTACCTTGATTTGACGTTTCCACTACAGATCTCGGAAAATGTCAAACGTCCTGCAGCCCACATCGCCAGGCAACTAAAGATCATATCCTGACCGAACACCAGGTAGCGTATCAATTTCTTGAAGTTCATAGCGCGGTCGTGAGAAGGGCTGTAACTAAACTAGCGCATCAACTAACCTGCCTCTCCCTTACGTATTGATCGTTTTGTTATTATATTGTCGCCGTTCTTGTTTATAAACATCCTTGTAATGATATAACTTATTTCCCTGATATATTTGAAACATCTCTAGATCTAAATTGGCCAAGAAACTCTTTTCGATAGTGAATGACTTTAATATTAACTTGTTCTCAACATCTAATGCCATCCAAATAACAATTATGTTAATCTATCCCATAATGTCCGCTCCTTGTTAACAAAATCCACTGAAGTAAGTCAAACTTCAGCAACATTGATCGACTACATGTAGCCTGCACCAATTTTGAAATCAACTCCTATATTGTTTTATCAGAATATAACAGACCATTTTCCAATCATGTGTTGTCTAAGTGGTATAACACAAATTGATAAAAATGACCGTATAATATCTAGGGACAACTTCACTTTTGACTCTTTTCGTACAGATGTACCACAAACATTTGAAATTAATGCCCTAAACTAGGCCTGCACAACTCACAAAAGGGCTGCAACATACAAAAACAGTTGTTCACCGGCCGCAAGTTTCATTATTACCGAATACCTTTTATATATGTATAATCTTATATGTTTCGTAATATAGCGTATAAACGGTGTTCCACATGATCCATTCAACACAACCAGCTTTTAATTAGATAATTATGTTGTATCGTTTACTGATTACGAGATCCTTATAAAAATAATCATCTGATTGTATTTCCAATCTATTTTCGGTTATTGCGGTTTTGTCGAAAAATGCATGCGCTCCCATACATTTGTCCCTTACAGCGCACGAGATATAATGATGTATCATGGCGCCAAAATCATACGTCAGGTGCGAAAGTACTTAGATAAGCTATATTGCCTAGGCTAGAGGATTATCAGATTCAGATATTTTATTTCTATCACGCAAGAATCAATGCACTAAATGAGTCAAATGTGCATAATGAATGACATTAACATAAAAAGGTAATCGTACACGATAAAAAAAAACTGATAACATATTACCGGGCGGACCTCTAACAACTATGGGACATTGAATCAATCGGGCAATGCGGAAAGAAACCATATCGAAATATAGATTTATCTTAGCCCAGCTCAAATATTAATGCACAGGAAACAACAGGGCCAACAAATCTTTAAGATTTTTTGGTGCACTTCAAAGCTAAAAACGTCATGAGTAGTCAGGCGACTAGAACTAAAATATATTCTTAAATCAAGCTTTTCTATTTAGAAGATACTGCCTCTCTGTGAAGGGATATAGATTTTTTCATTGCATTACCGGTCAAATTATTCCTATCTTCATCTTTGAATCGTATTTTATTTAAATGCTTAACCTAAGTTGTATTCGAACTTGAATCTTCTTAAGCATAATCAAATCTTTCGACGTGTTTTCTTGAAGTAATGCCTTTATTCTTATTGCGGTTTCTTGTTTTGATACAGAAGTGAAAAGCAATGATTTCAATAGTGCTACAAGATATCATCAGTGATATCTCTCCTAAATGATGAATACATCTCCCACTGTGGAAATTGGTGATACCATGTTATGAAAAAACACATTAAGATAGAATATTCATGTTCATATCGATAAATAAAGATTTTCAAATTGCAAATATTCATGCGAATACTTCACTCTATCTGACATTTCTGATGTCAGAAACACAGTCGAAGCTAATTGCAATTTACATTGCACTCTTACTTTTGTCCATTGCAGAAATTTTAAATCTTCAATTTCTAAATAAAAACTAAAATTGAAACTGCTATTATAACGTTATCGTACGTTAGTTAAATAGTCTATGTTGTGAAATTAATATCAAATACTGCTAAAATCAAATTGACCCATGACATTCATGATTCAGATATCAGAAAAAAATAAATAAGACATATTGGTTCAAATTTAGCATCTATAAAAAGGGGAACCATGCTTAAAAAGATGAGTAATAAATTTTTTAAAAAATTAAGCTGTACAAGCGCATTTGGAAATATAATGATTTTGCATCAAGGTCCGGGTTTGGCAAAGATTAATAATATTGCGTTTTATTTTGTCAGCACAGTGGGTTGGTTATATGAGAGCCTGGCAAATTCATAAATTATTTGCAACTGGCACCACCCTGTGCGTATTTGCATGTACATAGCGTTTCTCCGTGACATGAAGTTTTCGCGCCAACCCTTGCTAATGGACAATAAACGAAACATGGGCCGGAGCAGGTTGGGCTTTCTTTGTACACATTTGTTCCTAGCTCCCACAGTTGAACGTCAAACTCGCATCTGCAGTCCTTTAGTCCTATTTGGTTACGAGGAGATTTTGTCCCGTATCCTTCAACTCCTGATTTATTCATGCTTCTGTCATTTCTTTTGTTATGAGAATAACAAGAACCAGCGTCGAAGCAGTTAATTTCGCAAGTACGACCTGAAAACGTAAATATTTCGTATTAAGCATTGTTTACATCACATGAAATGAAACTAAAAATCGCTCAACACAAATAAAAATTTGAAACTCGTTCTTCGTTAAATGCAGTTTTTAAAACTTTCAATATTGATTCAATTTTCTGACTGCCATAATTTATCATTGAAAATAACTAACTGTGCATGTCACTTAACAACAAAAAGCGTACGATTTTTTAGATTTCATATCTCAGGCCATCCCCATTCGTTTTTTCATTCAAACCACGAATATTTTTAAACAACAGCATTAGTATATAATAAAAAATATATTATAATAGTTTAGTATGATAGATTCAGTGTATAGACGTATGATATAAACCCACACACTTACCAAACGGATTGTGCCTAACGTTGGCTAAAATATTCTTACCCGTCAAAAATTTGACTATCAGACATAAACAAAGAGAACTAATGATGCCCCTAACATTCTTCATTTAGTACCATCTTTTACCAATAGGTGAAATAAATTAAACAAAAAATATCAAATATGATACACCGATTTCATTCCATCTGCGAAAAATTTCTATGGATTTGCAATTATACCTGGTGTGATAAATTGGTATTTCAAATTGAAAATATTTTCATAATCAATTTTTATCGTGTTTCTACCAACATTTACAGTAACAGGTTTATTTAATAAAACAATGGAACCAACCAAAATAAACTACGCGAATGGTTATTCAAGAGTCTTGCTGCCCACTAACACGTATATATTTCTGAAACGTTTCGTCTGACCAAGGTCAGACAAACATTATCTAAATACTAAGTTGAATGATGTTTGCATATTATTTAATAGTTATCTTCACACTTGCTATAGAATCCACAGGCACTAAAGCATAGAAGAAGGAGAAGTAGTTGGTCTCGTAGAAACCCGATCGATTTTTTTGAAAGTATATATAGATTTATGATTTAGTGAATTTTTAATATAGTACTTCAAATATTGGAAGTTTATACTTTGTCAAATGATTTACTAAAATTTTATCTGGGAGACCAATAAAAAATACCCATTTCCAGTTTAAAATGTGCCTCATAAAAAGTTCCAGAATGGTGATATCGGAAGAAATTTTTCAATCTGTTGAGTCGTAACCTATTTCAGGTGCGCAACTTGGAAGTATTACAATTAATACAGTCCGTAAAAAGTTGAAGGGGAAAAAGTTTCAGAGAACAAGTGATAGAAAATTATTCAGCATAGAAATAATTTTGAGCGTTTAGCATTACCATGAATAGGTGAAGATGGACCGCAATCAAGTTTACACAGAAATTAACCCATATACCTTACTCTGATATTAGAAACACGTGACATAGAGGATGGTAGCCACTGCCCACTAGCCAATAAAAAGTACAACTTTCGCAGTCGATTTGTTGACGCTGATAAAAGATTGGATTTATTTAATCCGTCCGGGAAAGCCACTTCAACCACATCATACATGTTAATAACTCTTGATAGACTTTAGTCAATAGTATTTCAAAGAAAAATTTGATCTTAAATGAATTTTCACTCGTTTTGTACACTGAAGTTAAAATTTGTTTGACGTATACCGAATAACGTCAAACGGCATTCCTATCCAAGCATGCATCGACGAAGTGAATCAAAATTATGCCGCGAATAAATAGCAGAAATGCCAGTGCCAATGTCCTGGCGAGGTAAAATTATATATAAATTTAGACAAATAAATATTGAAATCCAGTGAAGTTATATACGTACTTGGCAAGGAATAGCTTCGACTGTAATGAACGCTATTTTGACCCAGTGAAATTTTTTGACTTTTTCCATTCCATTTTTTTCATTCAGTTGATACGCGACAACGACATATATTTTGTATACGTTCCCTTGCACTGGAACGTAATGCAAAGCACATCCTATTTTATCCACACTAGGGTCCATCATTCTGTCGTATCTTTCTGAATAGGAATGATAAGTAATCTAAATCTTAAACTGGATGTTGTAAAAACCAAATATAAGTTAATATTAGCTAATTAATTTTTTTCAATGCGCCTTTGTCCTTCCCATTTATTCTTGTTTACCAATTTCTCTTAAGGGATTTATTACCGGACATAAATGTTTAAAAATTATATTTTGTTTCACTTATGTATGGAGTTCAAGCTGATTTACAGAACAATATTACAATGTTTATTCATTTCTCTATATTTAGTTGAAAGTTGCGGATAATTCACCGTCGCAAAATAAGATCACAGTCATAACGACCGACCAATTTTCAACTCCACGATTCCAAATTGGTAGAAAAGATAAAAACTTTGTAACAAGTCGAAGTAGACATACCTTTATTATCTAAAGAAAAGAGTCCGTTTTCAACCCATTTCATGATCATGTCTTCAGCAGCCAAGGATAAATACAATTGCATCCGAAAGTCTCTAGCATTTGGAGAACGAGGGAAAAGCAAAGTTTTTGACAATATTTCAGTGCTAAATGAAATACGCTCTGTAAAACAAAATATATTTGTTGTGGAACTTCAAAGGAACAGGTTCATCAATAATGACTCTGAATCAGAAGAGGTGTTATAGATAGACTATCAGCTTTAGAATATCAGTTATTATATATCCAAACCGAGACACCCAGTCAAATACAAATGAGTGTACGATAGACCAGTGAATTTAAACTTCTTTCAAACATTTTGTATATCATAATTTTTTGTGGAACACCAATTGACATTTTAGATATTCAGAAATAATCAAAAGAGATGTCATAGATAGGCTATTAGCTGAATATTTAAGATATTTGGGCAATGCAAATTCTCTTCGAACTTTTAATATTTCGACTCAATTTCTTTTGCTTAACCTTCAGGAATTGTATGGTAGAAATCACTATTTTGCTGTCAAATCGTTAGTTTCCACTTACCTTTTTGTAATAAACTTGAATTTATATCTGCTAATCCAGCAATATGAATTTTGTATTCATTCAATACCAAATGAAGCCCCTTCAAATCAGCCTTCTCTGTCAGCAAAGCCGAGCGCGACACTGCTCCAATTCCACGATTGCTACGAATTTTATTATGTGTCACCAAGCATCTGCGTTCCCACATTCTCATCTTAGTAGTTTCTAGAAACATTTTTCACTGTTTAGTTGTCATTGACAACTATATTTTGTGTGTCACAATGAAATAAGATTCCTAATCGAGGGAGAGAGAATCGGACCCATGCAGTTTCATCAAAATACAATATTGTGACTAATTCTAAATTTCGCCTACTTGGTAGACTAACAACTTGGAGAAAATTTGTTTAGCCCAAACTTCTCGAATCTGTACTTTATGCAGTAGTCAACCGTCAATTTTTGTTGTTTATACGGTGGGTCGTCCATTTTCTTCAGCTATCTCGTTAGCAAAAAAAAAGCAACTTCGCTGATCATGTTCTTTTTTTTTATCAATAACCTCATAATAAACATAACAATTTACAACATATAATGCACTTACCGCTCACCGCTATTTCACCGAGGAGTACAAAGACAAGAATAATTCGAAAATCCATAACAGATGTAGACGGCGTTATAAACTAAGCAGTATTTGCGGTCGTCGCGAAACAGACAATGAGTAAAGACTGGCATTTTTCCATATTTAATCCGCATCTTATTCGATTGGGTAATCAATAATTATTATATTTTTTCAAAAATATTTTTGCAAACTAATCTGATTACTCGGCACCGCCCTCTTGAATTAACATAGTTAATTACTGGCTTATGCCCAATAACTGTGGCACGCGATCTGAACATCTTGGATGCTATTTTAATGACCGTAAAACTAATTTCACGTGTGAACAACAACATTTGTTGGTGTCACGTAGAGCGCACATATGGCGTGCAAGAATTGCATTCTTGCATCCAGGAGCATTTTGCAATAGGTCCTGCTGAGTCTGACACTTCATTTTGTAGAACTAACGCGTGAGGATAATTTTTTTTTCTTGTATACTTCTCGATTTTAAATGTCTGTTTATTATACAAAACAAATTCAGACAAGTTTTTTTTTCATTGGATATCGTGGGATAGACTTCGGGTTGTTAAAGAATTTTTATTAAACGAGAAGTACATCGTCATTCGGGATTGTACGGTCGCATGAACAAACGATTACTAATTTCAAATTTTCCAGCAACAAGATGCATTGGGTTGATTTCAAATAGAAACAGTCGAATAAATTAAATTGGGCTCACCTCAGTAAATATGATTTCATTTCAATCAGTCATTTTTACATACTTTCGGGGTCTTAACCCAAGGGCGCAACGCTCGAACCAGTTCTTAATCTAGCTGTCGACGCTAAGGTCTCGGCCACTTATCGCCGACTAAGACAACTTAATAAACCCGGGTGGAGGATCAGGTGATCTTGCGCCTGACAACCTCCATGTAGGTGGAGGTCACATTCTCAACTTTTGATTCTAAGTTACCATTTCTGTCGTTTTAAACCAGGACTTGGTCGACTGCAGACTTATGCTCTTATCTGCTCTTCATTTTGCATGAACTTACAATTTTCCGGCTGATTTATGTTGAGATTCACGACATGAAATTGTCGGTGATCCGTCCGCTTGGTCATAATTCCAGCGATATTCTTCACAGCTCTCTTCCATCTATCAGAAAAGCAGATGTCTTTTTTGTCGAAGTTTCGTTGTTCTGTACGTTAATAAAAATGTATGCGATTGAGGTTGCCATCTCTTTTCTTCGGCATTTGCTATTTTCATTATTTTCAACAATGAACGATTTTGATGCTCCACTTCAAAATTTGCTTTTCACCGTAAAACTGTTGAAGTATTAAGTTTGATTGCATGATTTTATCAATGACTTTGTTCAACATTGCTGACGGCATCGTAACAATATGCTGTAGTAGTCTACAACCACGAGTAAGATCTCACCTGTATAGGCTTCAGACCCATGAGATCGATTGTCTTGTCATGCACCGATTGGCGGTTGGGTTTTTTGCATGCGTCTTGGTTACTGTGGTTACGGCTTGACGTTGATCATTTAATTTTTGAATAAATTCTTCTATTCTCAACCCCAAACGAATTTACAGTTTGTATTGTTAATCTCCTAATCTTCTCTGCTATTTGTCGGAAATTTGGTAACAATTCGAGGAATATTGTATCAAACAAAGGCCTTATTTAATATTATTTTAAAACCTTGATGGATTTCTCATGACGACGACTTTCTCCTCGCTCGATGAAACACTGTTCCCATTTGAATCATGCCCCAAAGTTCTTTTTTCAACCCGAATTGGTAAGCTAACAATGTCTTACTATTATTGTATGACATTATAGGCTACTCTTTTGTCCAAATTCCATGAATTTTCCCTCATATCAAGCTTTCTTAAACCACTTTATCATCCTTTCAGCAATGCCCAATCAGTTTAGTTTTTCACGGTATTTGACTATTCTCGTCACTTTATCACATTGCATCGTTATCTTGGTATCGGTATCAGATTGAATTTGTCATTATTAGCTAAGCGTTTTAGAAGTTCCCGAAAGTTTAATACATTCGCCGCATTCGTGTATTTTTTGTTTGTTCATTTCTGATCCAAGCCTCGTTTAACTAGGTTTGTGATTAGTATGCGTGTGCGTGATGAGGGAACACATGGTATTTCTCCTGTTTTGAACTTTTTTAAAGGATTTGGTCGCTCCCAAGAATTCTCCATTTTAATTAGTGGGTGGCCAACCTGCTTTCGACCGACACATTTATATTTCCTCCAAATCCGATTCTTTGCTCGCTTGGAATTGAAAAAAATGGGCATACTGATGCCACTGCTTGCGTTGCGAATAAAATTTATCACACTACTCTTGGAGTGAGACAATAACTTGGCAAACTGCATAAGTTATTGTAGGGTCGTTTGTCAGTCAAGACACACGATATTCGGTACGTTCATTTTACCCCTCGGTAGCGGCGAAACTTGTATTTGTTACGTAATAATACGCTTTATCGGGCTTGCCCAGCAGACACAAATATTGTCTAACTAAACTCTGAATGTCTATATACCTATATCGTATTTTGCACATGTAAAGTACTGCAATGGTCATGTTTTTAAACACACAACAGGCGTAGAACTAGTTCAAGGCAAATTTTTGGGGTATGTTATAAAATTCACCACTATACTACAATTCACTACTCGAGACGTGGCGATCGACGTGTTGGCCACCCCTGGTGTATATTATGGAGTTTTCAAAATAAATTATCTATCTACCATACCCCAAATTCAATCTTCATTTTACCTCGCCTTTATTTTAGAAAGCTTTCGACTCAGTTTCGGCGTTGAACCTTCTTCACTGCTTTATTACTAACGTCATTGTCATAAATTGGTGCTGCGAACCTGCAGCCTCTTTTGCACTCGCCAATTCGGGAACGTTTTGAGGGAAGTTTTTGTGTATTCTCCAAAAGTATTCTTTACAGTTGTGGATCTATGCACTATCTATCCCTTGGTAAAAATTTCTCGAGCTATATCGTGAAAATTACGGGCTTATGATTTTTGTCAAATCGTTTAACGAGTGAAATTTGATGCGAACTATGTGCCAGTGTAGTGTGCAATGCTTCGTTTCAAAAAGACACGAATCCTGATTATGATGGCTGTAAATTGCAAACCACTCTCGGTTATTATTTATCCAACCCGAAACACCCAGTGAATGCGGCCCGCAAACGAATTTATTTTTTGCGGCCCTCGAACGACCTCACTGTTGGTGCATAAAATAAAATTGTCTCATAAATTTATAATTGTCTGCACACGGATTTATGTTGTAACAATGGCTGTTGTACGGCCCGAATCTACAGTTAGTTGTAACTATCAGTTTAGTTCATTTTGATTTTTTCCAAACTGCATTATTCAAAACCTGTTTACTTTGATATGCCTTGAACCAGCATCGCAGTTATGAGAGAATTTAATACTAAACGTTATTACGTAAAGTGTCACAGCAAATTCGAAGAATATGTTAGAGAAAGGGAAGAATTAAATAAAAAGAATTCAAAAAGCGGACTTGAACAGCAAACTAGTTTTTATTTAAGAAAAGGCAAGAAGAAAGCCAATCAGTTACAAAGGCAGCATTGGTTGTAAGTTCGCTCTTCGCTAAACAAATAAACAATTTACTGATGCCTAGTTTATTAATAAACATTGGTCGTTGTCAACAAAGTTTGTCCTGAGAAGAAACTCCTGTTAAACAGTATTCCGTTATGTTCCATAACAGTTACTAGCAAAATGGAAGTTATCACTGAAAATCTCGAATTTCAACTCAAAAAAGGTGCTAGGTTTGATTATTTTTTCTTCGCATTTGATGAAAGCATGGATGCATACTGTACCGCGCAACTGGTCATTTTTGTTAGGGGTATCACAGATAATTTGGACGTAGCCTAATTGAGGAGTTTGCCGAATTGATTCCGAAGTAAGGTACTACACAAGGAAAGGACATAGCTCACGCAATACTGGAACGTATTGCGTATGCATCTTGATCTATCAAAATTTATTTCTGCTACTGCCGATGGTACCCCAGCCATGGTTGGCTCTCACAAACGTGCAATTGTTTTTTGACAAAATCACGTAGCTTCGTTGGGCTTTTCCAACACAATTATTAAACTACAATGCTAATCATCAGGAATTTTTGGCATCAAAGGTGACACATTTAGATATGGCAGCTTTAATGTCTAATGTTGCTAAAATTATAAACTTCATTTCGGCAAGAGGCCTCAATCACCGACGATTCAAAAGTTTACTCGAAGAAATGGGTGCTCAGCATCATGATCTGGTGTATTTATGTGAGGTTAGATGGGTAAGTCGCGGTGATATTTTGCAACGGTTTTATGATTTGCAAAACGTAATTGTGACATTCTTGAAACAAAAAAAAGCAATTTTCGGTATTGATGAACTTGGTGATCCAGATGGGTCAACAGATTTATCCTTTTCCACTTCTCATATGAACAAGCTAACTTACAACTGAAAGGAAAGGAACAATTTATTAATCGGATCATATTCTCATTGGTCCTATGTATGATTATATTGTTGCATTCATAAACAGGCATCGTCTCTGGGAAACTTAACTAATCAATTCCAACTTTGCTCATTTCCCCAATTTGAGCCTTTGTAAATCTGCAAACTCTGAAATATAGCCTACCTATCGGTGATCGTTTCCACTAAAATTCAATTTGAATCTCTATTTTGTGATATATATGAATAATCAGAAAGATAAATTTGACTTATTTACAATGCCATTTTTAGTTGATGACAATACTGCGCCATGTGAAATTCAAATGCAAATATTTGATCCTCAAACATCTATTTCTAATATGTTGAAGGTCTAATACGATTCAATTCCGATTTTATAAAGAATATGTCCAGAAATCCACTTGTCCTCATCTGTATGACAATGCAAAACGTGTAACACATAAGCAAAACGTAGGTACATATTGCTGTGAGCAGCTTTTTTCCAAAATGAATAAAGAAATACACCAAATAGTAGTAGTATATATTTACGGTCTGCCGCAAAAACACAAAAAAATTGCGACCTGCAGTGTATAAAATAGCGTTTTTTTCATCTGTTTTGTGGTTGTTAAAACAAAAAGTATGGTATTTTTTTTTTCATTTGTAGTATTAAGTTGCGAATTCACTTCTTTAATTATCTTCTCGTTTCCGATGTTTGCATAATAACGAGTTTTTCACGATGAACGCCCAGTTCTAGACGAGAAAAAAATATTTATCGATGTTTTGGTGGAACACGGTGTGCAGAGAGATATTTGTGAGGCAGGGAGAATTTGCAGAAATAGAGTAAACCGACACAGTAGATATGTACGTTCTAAATCAGGGTGGTCCAACCCAGGCCCGCCGCTTCATTATCTGTGCCCCGCGTCGCATTTGCGCGAGGGTAAACAAAAAATCGCATTTGGAGTTGTTTCGTCATAAAAATAACCAGAAAAATCTTTTGACATATTGTTACATCACTAATGTCACTGATTTAATTAGTGTTATGGCTAGCTGAGGCAACTAGCGAAGTTAAATAATGTGATTGGCTGGTCTAAATTGTTGACTGGCTTTCTATATTTTTTGTCGGTAATATATGCTAACAGAATATACTTCATGGAAAACTAAAATCGAATGAGGAATCTGTTAGCCCAGGTTGGTTATGCCTGATAACCAAATATTAATGTAATAGCCGAACAATATAATTCCTGCCGGGTGGTTTTTCGCAACCAGTCTAATCAGTATTACAAAAAGTGCTGCCTATATGCCAGAAAACTTAGTAGCCTAAGTACTCTCCTGTATCCCAAATTTGGTAATCAATCAATCTGCAGTTATTACTTATCGATCTTGATGGGTAAGTATATTGATCGGTATCGGTAGGCTAAGGTATTTATCTGTTTGTCTGTTAGATGCACGCGATATCTCGCGAATTATAATTTTCTTTCTTGTATTCGCGAATAAATATGTGATTAAGATATTGAATACTATTCATGTTATAATCCGGCCCGCCGAAAACTTCATTTCCCCACACCTGGCCCGCCGACTAGAGAAGTTGCCCACCGAACTGCTATGGACCTTTCCCCGACATCAAAACATCCGTATTTTCAACCAATCACAAGCGAGCAGATGTAAACAAACATTCTCCGCTGAAAAGTCGCTCAGACAACTTTGGACGCGTTCCGCACAGGTTGCTGGCGGTTTAGGCAGATATTTGTCCTTTTTTTCGCTTTTTTTCTTCACAGGGCTGCGAGAAAAAGAAAGCTGTAATACTGTATGTTACTTGTTGCAAATCACGTTCACGAAATCTATATATCTATACTATACTAAAAGGCTGTATCCGTTGCAGGCACCTTACAGGTTACGGCACTGTACAGGTCACAACTGCTATTTCGAACCAAAAAATAGTAGACAGTCATGCTGATGCAATCAAGGGTACCGGTAGCCTACCGTATTTCAGTACGGAAGAATTTGTCTTCGATACGATGTTGCATTTTTATTAAACAGAATCTATTAGTGAATTATTTTGGTAGACTAACTATGTGTAAACGCTGTGCATATGGTATTTGCCGGTCTGACAACCTGTACGGTACCTCTGCCGTTCAAATGGAGTAATTTTTGTGCCTTTTCCGAAGCCACATATTGACTGCCAAAAAGAAATGAGGTGGATAAAGGAATGCAACAGGCCTCGCAGTATACCGTATTCAATCTAGGAAAAATCACCAGAAATACCTTCGTGTGTACCAAGGTAGGCCAACATAAATATTGTTTTCGATACCTATGATATATTCAATATGTTAATTCTTATATGAAATAAATTTTCATACAAGCAATGCGTTCCATCATGTATTTTCATGGAGGCGATGGACCAACTGATGAAAACCCTGACCCTATATCAGATTCTTGTCGCCCAACAGAAAAGCACCATCGAATTGTCAGGTAAGGATTACTTATACCATGATTTAACTCTGGATCATAATTTAATAGGATCTGTCACCAGATACTTCATTTGATACAGAGACATGTGAACCTGACGAAAGTGAGAAAGGATTGTCAGGGATCCAACCAGATCTGCCCCCAGACTCTTTAGTTGAAACTACCTCAAGTGCCGCTGATGAAAAAGACAGCACTTTGTCAGACAGCAGAAAAATGTAAGCAAGCATCATCATCATTTTATTTTAGTTCTCTGGCATAAAACAACACAAAAAGTCAACATACAAACAAAATGCAGAGAAAACTGGAAGTCGAGCATAACTTGAAATAGATTTCAAAAAGTACGCGACTACCTACCAGAAAAAGAAATAATAATAATAAAAGGGCACGAAAGAATTAACAAGATTCAGAATCGGAACTGCAACTGCAAAGTCACACCAAGCTGCTCCTGATACCAGAAGTTGGCCCTGCACTTGGTAGTAACTGTGGTGTGTGATGAATATCCCAATTTTGTTAGGTTGTTTTGCATAAATCACAACTTGTTCATAATCACCTGGTAAAACTTAGAACCGAACCAAGTGGTGGGTGTTTGGCCATCTGACTATGGGCTGACTATATAACAATGAGGTAGTGCCCAGTGAGAGCAATTTTTCCATATTTATTATCAGGGGATGAAACCGGCAGCTTTAATAAAATAACTCAGACGCTCCATTGCTTTCATGTTTTTTGTTTGTTGTGCCCAAAAGCATATTTCTAGCTGCACAGCATTTCTTAACCTGGGGTAAATTTACCCCTGGGGGTAAATTCCTTCATTCTAGGGGGTAAATTTTGTTATTGTGGAAAAAATATTGACTAAACAAAAATCACATCTATTTGCTTGTTTTGTGTCAAGAAACGTTGTGATATCGGTAAGTTGTGAGTTGTATTTGTCGCTAGTAGGCTATTACTTTTATATATTGTGACGTCATAAACATTGGGGCAATTTGTAGAGGTTCCGAAAACGCATATCAGCGGATCCTTGTTTTAGATGGGAAATTTTTTATGACGACACTATACTACGTTACGGTACCTGATCTGGTAATACGGAAATGATTAGGATCAGTTCGCAATTCAAATTTCAATTTATGTTAAACTGAATTGTCAGAGGACCTGGAAAAGCTATTACAGTCCTTGTACCGGTACATAATATCAGGGCACTAGACTAGGTTTCCTGGTCTGGTAATACAGTAAGGATCCGAATCAGTTCTCAATTCATGATGAACTGAATTGTCTCAGGGTCTAGAAAAGTTATGACAGTCCTTGTACCGTTACCGCCGATATTTGAGTTATTTAACTCAAATCGAGTTATTTAACTCAAATCGTCCCTTGTACGCATTTAGCCAAAATTGAAAACCAAGTCGAGTTCTTTGTTATTTTAACTATTACATTAAATTTAGTCACAAAAGTTACACACTCAAATTTGTTTAAAAAGAATGTCACAAAAAAGAGAAATTATCAGGACGTTTTTTAGATTTTGGTTTTACGTATCTCATTCGGGATGGTCTCCATATTCCTCAGTGTGTTCTGTGCATGAAAACTTTTTCAAAGCAGTACCATGAAACCCGCCCCACTAAAACAGCACCTACGAATGCTCATCCAAGCATGAAGAGAAAAAATCGGTCTTTTTTTGAGTCAAGATTGTCCTGTCTAAAAAGTCAAAAACTGGACAAATCCGGCACTTTTTGGCAGACTAACAATACTGCTGCTGACACATGCATCTTTTGTCATTGCTCTGCATGTGGCAAAAGCTAAGAAAGCACATACAATCGGTGAAACCCTGAAACCCTGTATATTGGAAAGTGTGAAGTTGATGCTTGGAGAGAAAGCATCTCAAACAATGAAACAAATTTCGCTGTCGAACGACACAATAAAATCCAGAATCAATGAAATGTCTGACAATATTAAGAGCAAGGTAATATCGAAGATTGACTCCTCCCCTGTTTTTGCCCTTCAACTTGACGAAAGTACAGATGTTTCCAATCTATCACAACTGCTTGTGTATGCCAGATATGTTGATGGTGGAATGATTATTGAAGAATTTCTCTTCTGCCAACCTTTGGAAACAACATCAAAGGCAGCGGATGTTTTTCAAGTGTTGGATGATTTTTTTACCAATACTGGTTTAAGTTGGAGTAAGCTTGTTGGGGTATGTACTGATGGTGCTCCTGCCATGATTGGTGCAAAATCTGGATTGGTTTCCCTCATAAAGCAGAGAAATCCAGAAATTCAAGGAACTCATTGTATGATTCACAAAGCGGCCCTTGTCTCCAAAACTATTCCAAAGAGACTTCACGAGCATTTATCTGTCGTAATCAAGCTCGTTAATTATGTGAAAAGTTCAGCGCTCAGCACAAGACTCTTCCGCAAGCTTTGTAAAGATATGGATGCCGACCATACCACACTTTTATATCATACGCAAGTACGTTGGCTGTCAAAGGGAAACATGCTTTCCCGTATTTTTGAATTAAAAGAAGAAGTAAAGTTGTTTTTGGTAGCGCAACAAAAAGATGATCTTTTGTTAGCATTTAGTGAAGACGGATTTGCTACATACTTAGCTTTCTTGCCGACATATTCAAAGCATTAAATCAACTTAACAAGAAACTGCAAGGTCCAGAAAGTAACATGATCAAACATACTGATGCCATCAATGCATTTATGGCAAAGCTCAAACTTTGGAGCCAACGAGTAACAAACGATGACGTTACATCATTTCCCCGCTTGAATGACATAATTAGGGATGGTTTTGAACAACTTTTAAAGCCGGACATTATTTGCCACTTTCAAAACCTGCAGAAGGAATTCGAACGATATTTTCCCGAGATCAACACTTCCAGCATTTTGTTGAGATTAGCAAGAAATCCTTTTATATGTGAAGAAGAGGATGTTCTTCAGGTAATTCCAGAAGAATTTATAGAGTTAACAAACGATTCTTTTGCTGGAGATCAATTTCGCACCTGCAACCTAGAGAAGTTTTGGGTTAAAATGCAACGTTCCTATCCAAGACTGGGTAGTAATGCCCTGAAGATTATTTTTCCCCTTTATACTACCTACCTGTGCGAGTGCGGATTTTCTGCGTTGCTCACTATCAAATCTAAAGCACGGAACCGGCTCGATGTCGAATCTGATATACGCTGCGCATTGTCTGCTATTTCACCAGACATTGAAAATCTGGTTGCCAACAAACAAGGGCAGCCATCGCATTAAATGTGCTTTTTTTCTGAAAGTACTGCAAGTAAACTGATGCAGCTTTCTACCCAAACCTTTCTGTTTAGTCCCGAGTTCTTTGGTTCGTCTTTGTTTGGCGATTTTTTTAAATAAATCATAACCTAAAGATGTTTTGGGGGTAAATTTTGTGATCTTGTTTGGTAAAGGCGTAAAATATGCAAAAAAGGTTAAGAACCTATATTCTAGCATGTATTTTTATCCTATACAACACAATGTCTGCAAAACTGTATAATTTGTAGTAATTTTCTTGGATTTACTTGCTTGTTCCTTCATCATATATTTTTTTAAATCTGTTATATTCTATTTCTACACTGAATGAATAAACTATATTGTAAAACCTATCACATAACCGACTGTTTTTGGTTGAACCGGTATGATTGGAACTCTGGCTCGATCTAACTTTGTGGGATTAGCACCAACTACAGACGGCAAAACTGTTGGATCTATTCTGTTCCCTCCATATAGGTTGTTACCAATGCTGGGGAAGGCTTGTACATGCTTGGCTCAGCGGAAAATCTTTTAATCCCTCAATTTCATCTGTTGGATAGTCTTGGTTAGTCCATTTAAACCATGTTTATCACTATAACATTATTGGTCTTGTAATTTTATGTGGTATGTAATCGATCATAATACCTCAATAAACCTGTTGAATCTAATCTTTCAATAGTATATTTGCACCCATCTTACTGAGCTAATAAATCTGTGTTTCTATGATACGACATAAACTCAATTGCCCTCACTGTGCCTAGCATGCACAAATTGCATCAGAGACTTTGTGACTATCCAGCGACACCACTATTTGAGGATGATGTGGTGGCAGAGACTCCTGAACTTATCTATAGCACTTGGCTTTGAAATCTAGCGTTGAACCAAGATTGACGACTGAACCATCATTAATGTATCTGAAAAAAATATTCACCTGTTCAGAATTACAGATTTCTGTAGTTTGTGCAATTTTCCAAGAATGTATCTAAAAGACTTTTTAAACTGCCCCTGCATTTCATTTGTTCCCATACTAAACCCACCAATTCAGCCCTAACTTGGACGCTATCTATCAGTCTATGAACTATGGGATATGGTACGGTACCGTACCGGTAGTCACGCAGGTCTCCCAGTTCTATCACCACCCTCTGACATTCTTCAACTATATAAGTTTAAATATCACCTTTCAATGAAAAGTTTTGTATCCTTCTCTTGCTGGGGGAGAGAAAAGTTCTTGGAGAACCAAGTCATAGAAAAGTCATCTCTGAGTGATTCCATTTTTGTATGTTAAATGAGCTTTTAGAACTAAGTTAGGTACGTTAACGGCAAAGTGAAGTCGGAATAACGTTAATAATAGATCACTTGACAATATGTTATAACTTTAGAAGCACGAAAATACCGCTATCACCAGTGAAATACCATTCGAAGGCCTTTAAAACGAGCAACGTACCACTCTATCGCCCTACACAAGCCTGCATATTTGCAATGTTTGTCTGAGCGACCAAAATCATACCAATAAAGGTCAAAGGTCGGGGAAAGGTCCATAGAGTCATGAATCGAAACCGCAGTTTCGATCGATAAGTCTTCGGTCTCCGACCAATATTCTTGTTTGTTAGTTATTTTGTAAACATGAGTTTGGAAAGAAAGCTGACCAATTCAAACAGACAATTTAAAACGGCTCTACCTATGGAATTTTCTCCGTTATGAGTGTAGATATAGTGAGATTTTTTCACGTTTTCGTTAGTTTTTTTGGCGATTTTTGCATGTTTTAGCTTGATAACTGACAAATAATGATCAATGTGTTTGGGCCATAAAACTGTTTGTTTTGTATTGCACTGTTTGCCTATTCTTGGCGCCATTGTGACCCGCGAGGCCGACAACCTCGGACCCCGCTGTTCTAAATAATCACGTCAGGCTGACGAAAACAATCTGTGATTTAATACCAAAATTAGCTTTGCGAAAATCGCAGTAGGTCTTTCGACAATTTCATAAAGGGGCGTTTGGAATCCGAAGTCTGCTGCTTCGCAACTGCTTGTTATACGATAATGAATACCGGTAGACACTTCATCCAATTATTCTGCACTTTCATTAGAGCTGATTCGAGATCAGACGTGACATAAACTGTGCCCAAATATGTTTTTAAGTTGAGCAATGAAGTATGAAAACGTTGTTCGTTGACAACGTCGCAACAAAGTATGAAAAACAAACGCATTTATTCAAAGTTTAACAAAAAAACAACGTTCATGGTATGACTATTTGTCCATTTCATTTTGTTCGGCCAGTATCAGCTCATTCAATTAATTTGAATATCATCGATGTCGTGATTTTTTATTCTTATGTCTAGAGAAATCGGCACCATTGGACCTTTCTACGAGCATCGACTTTCTTGTTTACTTCGTGACATTGGCAAATCAGCAAGATGTCAAAAGTGACGTAACAATGCTCCCAACGCTCAGACATTTTTCTCACTCAGACTTTTCAGGCGTGGTCGTGGACATTACCTCGTTTTCGCGTTTTTGAACTCTATTCGTTAGTTTTCAGTTGTATTTCGGAAATTTAAATATGAATCAGATAATTCAATGACCACTCTGTCTTCTTACGAGTTTTAATTTAATTGCAGTAATAAAAAATTAGTGTAAAAATAGCTGTGATAGACTAGGCTAAAATTCTTTACCGGTACTTTTAAAAAACAGATTGTTGTATGCGATGAATCCTAATGTTGGTTTGAAACACATACCCCATTTTACAGGCGGCAACTGGCGAAACCACTCTTAAAATAAGCCCTCAATATTTTGCAATGGTAAAGTATGGGAAGAATCTTTTAGGGGTCAAAGGTCGGGGAAAGATTAAGCTGAAGCTATCACAATAGACCTTATTCAATGCCTTATTCATTAAAAACCCATCCTACGCGCAAAAAGAAAAGTGATTGAAAGCAAAACTGCCTCAAGTAAATTTTTTATTTCTTTTAATTAAAAATTCACACCCACGAATGGGGAGAATGAAAAGTTTAATGCACTCATTTTTTTAAATTTTAAGCAATTAAATGTGGTGTTGTTTAGAGAGAAATTCTGAGCTCAAAAATATGAAGGGGCCTCTCATGGTCTAAATCCAGCCCTGAACATCACCAATTTTGGGATAGGTACATGGTGTCAACATATGAACTGAGTTAGGCCATTGGATTTTGAAAAGTGTACCAGAAATGTACATAGTTACATGGAATTCATGAAATATATAACATCCAATAAAAAACAAAATAGGTCTTTCGTTGAACGCCAGTTGTGGTCCCGGTACCGGTATTCTGTTATCACAAGTAGTTGGAGCGCATATCCCACAGAGCACGGCGCGTTGGCAGAATCTCATGGTCTAGTGAGAATGACGTCATCGGAAACACCGCGCTCATTAAAATTTTAATGAACGATTATCAAAAATCTTGACCATGTTTATCATGATAAAAATATCAAAAAAGATGTAAAAAATATTCTATCCTCAAAACTGCCCACGTCCACATTGAAAGATATCTAGAAAATTACAAAAAATGCAAATTTCTGCTCTGGTGATCCCATTCCCCATAAGATCTAATGTTAAATTTTTTTTTTACATCACTTTTCTTTTTGCGCGTAGGATGGGTTTTCAATGAATAAGATCTATTACGGGGTCGTAACATTGAGGTGTATATAACCTCAATGGGTCGTAAGCGATTTTGCCGTGATTACGGAACTGATTTTGGTCGATTAACCGGTACGTGCAAGCCTAGTGGGGACCAGGCTTTGGTGGAGACAGCGTCATCATTAACATTCAGACATTAGGTACGTAACTAACAGCGATAACGATAAGGTGTGATTGAAGTCGGGCGGTGTTGGATTACGTTGAGGTGATAAAGCACTGGGAAAAAGTACGGTAGTTTTCACCGCGAGTGTTATGATCGTAGAATCCTATCCTAACGACGTTGTTGAACCTAGAACAATATCTAAGAAAAAACGAATTTCAAGCGGGGCGACACGACCCCTGTAGACTAGGCAGTACAGCAGTAGGCTACCGGTAGGTGGTAGGGTACCGGTACAGGCTGTAAGGCTGTAACCCCCAGCTGATTGCGGCACTGGACTGATCGATAATTAAATTAAATATCAAACAAAATAGCCTACTCCTTTGTAGCACACAGAGACAAAACTCTGAAGATTGCCCAGATTTTCAGCTCACTGTTCCTTCATGCAGTTATTTGATATAACATCTCTAGAATTCCCTGTTAGTGCTGTAGTCTGGTACGGTATCATCGGTAGTGTCTGAGTGTATTTCAGTCTTGCATAATACTCTAGTAATGACTTCTCTAAGCCTAAATTTGCATTTCTTTCAGGGACATTTCAGTGTTTACTTCACAGCCTAGTGATCTGCCAACTGCTTCAGCACCATGATAGAGGTGACTGCCCGTCTTGCAAGAGGTTCTGCGTATTTTGCCGGTGAACCTATAAAATGTCTTCTCACATTTAAAAATGTAGGAAACCCGAAGGATCCTATGTCAGAATCTCCAAAGAAGACAAGGTGGGTCTGTTAGTCCGAGTCCATTTACTTAGAACAAAACAGTATGTTGATGAGGTGTGTCTTAGATCGTAATCTCTGAATCATAATGCAGTATTAATGTCTTTTTTATTGGCTGTGACCTTGCTAATATGTTTATTCAGCTATTCTTGAACGATACCTGCAGACTAACTCATCCTAAATCTCTGGATAGATCTTTTTGAAATAAAATTGATTTTTACAATAGAGGATGACATTAGCACTTAAATGGGGATGACTTTTTGTGATTTATTTTCTGTAAACATTTCAAATAACAAAAGCAGAGACTCACGATTTGGACAATAATGTCTTGAATGTTGTTATCAATAAAAACTACTTAAAACAAGACCAAAGCACCATAGATGACTGGAATATAAAAGTCGTAGTCTATCCAAACAGCAATCAAGATGGCCAATAGGTTATCATCTGAAAAGATTTCACCAACCCATAAAAGAAGTTGTCTACTATTTCACTTGTGGTGATAATGAGTGTGACGAAGTATCTATATACATATGACAAGCTAGAGATAGTTTTAAGACGAGCTTAGAAATACCATAACAAATAAATATGGAGAGAGATGAGATGACAATGCATATACAGCTGTTTACATATCTATAAATACATAAATGATATCGACTGCATTCACTGGTATATTTTTATTTTCCACAGTGCGAAAGCAGATACATTGGCCTGGGCTAGTGCACAAATTGCATGTTTTTGTAGTGTAAGCGGTTCCAGGGTTATCATGCCAGAATCTTTATCAAACAACATGATGATGGCGTCACAGGTAACACATTGTATTAGAGTGATTTTTTCAATTTTATACAAGTTTTAACTTGGGGTAGATATTTCCACACTTCATAGTAAATGATGACGGTGCAAAGTGGGGCTGTGGTTCCATCTAAGCTAATTTATTAGCGTTTTTAGTGATTGTGAATTCGAAGTATCGTGTTTTGTTTAGAGGCCACTTATCGCCAATTCTGAAAAAATTTACATATATTTGGATAAGTAGATTCTGTTTTTTAAACCCATTTTCGACTGTTTGATTTGTTTCTCTTATGCAATTAATAATAATCATCAGTTATCTGTAAAAATCTATTTTTATTATTATGACAAATATTTTACTTTATGGACAAAAAATTAAATGAATAAAATAATAGCCATGTTGTTAGAGTGTTGAAGGTCACTATGTTTTAGCCGTGAGGTTGACAATTCCACCTGTGCCACATATAGTTTGCAAAGGGCTGTATTATTTCTTCGTCATTTTAATTCTGCATAATGCAAATGTAATCACTGTTATCTATGTATATTCATGTTCAGGAAGTCAAAATGCAACATCGCTTGTTCCACACAAAGAAGAGCATGGGCGGTGTGTTTTACAGACAAATATTAAAATACTGTTTTGTGACTTGAGATTAATGCCTGGAGAATTGAAGCATTGTAAGTTATTTGATGGGGTGGATTATGACATATCATTTTTTATATTAATTAGTGATTGTAATTAAATTTGAACAATTGTGTCGTCATGCGATATACTTAGAAAACTGAAATTCGAAATATATGGTTGACTATAATATTCGATCATATCAATATCTTCAAATAATATTATTGCATTATCAGAAATGGCGGTTTACCTGATAACACATCGAAAGATTTGACTCTGTTGAGTGCTTCAGCGCTTCAGGTTTTACCGAGTGTCTTTGCTTTGATTAGTTACTGTGACTGTAGTACTGTTTATTTTGTGAAATTTGCAAATTTCTATAAAAAATGTTACAAGTTCATCTTGATTTTTCAGTTTGTTTCAACGATGTCATTCCCAGCCATGCATTCCCATCATACAGAGGCCCATCGGTCAAATATTCATATAAGATAACAATTGCAATGCAGAGAGTTGGTGCTCCTGTTAGAGTATTGAGAGTTCCATTACGAGTTCTTGTTTTATATGGTAAGGCTGTTACAGTCTATCTACAAAATGAACTTTGTGTCAGGGATGACTAACCTACTTTAATAAATTTCTAATGATTCAAAAATTATACTTATATTATGAAAAAAGAAAAATGTGGGTTATGATGTAATCAATGTCTGGGCATCACTGGGTGACGTTTACTGTTGCATCTTTCCCCATTGAGTCTTCAAAGTCCTTGGTTGGTATTGTGTAGTTTCATGTGATGTGAAGAACCAAAAAGCATTTACTGTGGCAAATATTTTCATGTTTAAGAGGAATTTAGGAGAAAATTTCATAGTGATTGTAAAGTGAATCATTTATTCGTTTAGCTGTGCCCAACTTCTGATATGTTTCATTTTATCAGCTAAGAATATTTCACTCTCAAACATTTAACAAACATGTTCAATCCTTTTGATGACATTCTATTATTCATTCCACCTCAAAATAATAGTAGTACATTATTACTGGTCTCTGTAAAAGTCAAAATCAAGTTACCAGATGTGATTATTATTATACCTTGGGTTTAGATTAGACATTCCAGACCAGATTCGTCTATTGAGAGATATAATACATTAATTTGTTTTAAGGTGTAACAGAATTCAAAGTGGAAGACGAACCTCTAACAAATAGTTTATTTATTCCTACACCTGAACCAACCAACTTGCTTGATATTGCATCAGAGATTCTCAGCACAATAACATCAAGAAAAAATTCTCGTTTGTGAATTTATATTATACTTTATTATATTTATATTTATTTGTATATTTATCCTATGCTGATGCTGATAATGCTGTCCTTCTTACTATGGCTTGGCAATAATACAAGGTCGAATAAGACTTCATATTTCTATAATGCAGGAACCTAAAATCATTTGTTCAAATTCTTCTGCTGAACATGACCATACTTAAAATATATTTGTTATTCAAAAATATTAATTTAGAATATTTGACGTTATCATGTTCATCTCTTCCTGATCAGGATAATATTCAAATGTCAAAAGATTCCTGATTCAGATATTGACTCAATTATGCAAGTATTTAAGATTCAGATTATCGAGATCTTCAATAAAATCTGAATGAACCCTAAATTTTCCCATTCCTAAATTTAGGATTGTAAATATTAAAATGCAACCATAACACATGATTCCAATTTGTTAGAACATGTGACTAAATCAACATTCTTAGTTCTCAATAGCTATTATGAAGGTATTTTTTACGTATTTGCATCAATTAAGCAAAAATTTGGGTAATTGATTGCTAATGCGCACGCTACTATAAAATTAATAATATTTTCTTCAACACAGATAATTATAAAATTGCGAACACCAGCGGAACAATCACTGTCTTTACATTATTGAAAGGATCAGTTAGACTTGGTGAAGATATTGTTGGAATGTTTGATTTTTCATCTGGTACAGTTCCCTGTGTTCAAGTAAGTTGGTGAGAATGTACATTCTCTCACTCTCAAAAATAGTAAAATGATATGTAGATGATGATATATTTTGATTTGTTCGTATGGGTTCTGTTTTGTTGTACCAGTCACTATACAGGTGAACTGCCCTTGGCTTTTATTTTATCTCTGTGCATTGTAATTTTATGATTAAATTCATTCAAAATAAAAAGGAAGTCCAAATAATGTCACATGTACTAACAAACTTAATTCAAGTTCAATTATTTTTGTTTGTAAATTTATTTATTAACTTCGATATCTTTAGTTTACGGTCTGTCTTCAAAGTGAGGAAGAAATATCAGAAGAATGTCAGCGACACCAAGATGTAGGAAATGCGATACTATCCTATGAAAAACACACCCAGTATTGCCTATTTCTCAAAAAAACTCATATAGCTGTACCAGTGCCATTACACAGCACACCTGGATTTTTAACTGACCTAGGTACAATTTTTATCTCATTAATACCGCTTTTTGGCTTGTTGTTTGATGTTTTAAAATTTTGTGCTATCTGCTATGCAAATTTGCAGACCGGTATAGCTAGCTGCCTTTACTCTTTAGTTTTAACTTTTTGCATTGCAGTTACTGGATAATGTCGATTCATGACATTTTTTTTTTACTTCACAGTTTGCCTTAAATGGAGATTGCATTTTGAATTTGTTGTCAGCAAAGGACCATTGAAAAAAGTTAAACTAGACCCTACCCAATCAGGTTTGGACATTTTTCAGTGGCATTAAGAATTTGTGAATATTTCCATCTGTGGAAATATGTGACACCGTTAGTATTGTTGATGCCTATCTTACTAATAGGTAGCAGGTTTGGTTCTTTGATTTATAAACAATTTGGACTTGTTGCTGTGCAATTTTGTAACCTGCTGACAGTGTGACCATCCTACCATTGTGCGTTAATATCCCAGTTGGGCACGCATTCCGTCTTATACAAACATCAACTGAATGAGTTAGTTAGTTCCGATGAGCCTCATCTCCAATATTATCACTATAGATAATGGTCATCGTCAATGAAATTGTGTACGTTTTGTGGTTAGTGACAATAAATCAGTGTTCATTAGATAGTTGACTATACCAAACTGTGTGAGAAAATATCTGATAGTTGTAGGAAAATTAAATTGTAGCTTGTTTTTTTAGATGATTGCATGTGGCAAGGTCCTTCACATTTAGAGACGGATACGGTATCCTGGGATTTGCCGGTTCGAATATTACCTACAATGCCCATGCAAGCAGAATCCAGTGGATGTACAATGAACTCCTATTCATTGACAATTTGAGCATCTACTTGCCAGCAATTGTTGTTAAATTGAGTTATCCTCGTTGACAGTTTTGTCAATAGATAGCAATTGGCAGAAGACTTGGAAATGTAAAAGACCGAGTGACCTCAACGCGTATTTCCGTCCTCTTACTAAGAGATATCTGTGAAGCTGCCATCAAACACCGTGAATATGACTCCAGAATGAGTTTGTGAAAGTTAAAATATTGTTGCATTGCAATATATTGATATATGTAGGTTTATCTCTGAAATCAATTTGTTGTTCCGAAGTAAACTTTAATAATGTCATCCAGACCAGATCTAGGTTTTCGATTTTGTGGAATTGGAAAACTTTGTGACATATCACGATAGGTTGTTGGACAAACTGGTAATATAAATGCTTAACCAGTCATTCAATTTTAGATAGTAAAAGTGACCATTAATTTCCGCTCTAACTGTCATCCTAGGCCAGGGGTCTGCAACCTTTAGTCGTTCGCGGGCCAAAAGGTTGCAAGGCATTGGCAAGCCGCACATATTTTTAGGAAGTTAGAAATCGAATGGATGACCGATGAACCACATTTTATCACACAGATCAGTTAAATTTTAGGCAGCGCGCGTGCACCATTAAACCATTTGCCCTTAGCAACAACTTCTCTGTGTTTTGTTGCCATTTGTCTAAACTCTAAATTATAAGCTCATTAAACCAGTAATTGTGAGTTATATACTTGTAGTTGTAACGTTATAATATAATTTAGTCTACCTGTAAATTCTTTTGCCTAAAGAATATAATCTACAAAACAGCTATAATTTGTTACTATAATTCAGTGAAGCGTCGCGGGCCGGATTGTATTGCTCCGCGGCTCGTAGGTTGCCGGGCCCCTTTCCTAGGCGGTTGTTTTCTAATCTACAATTACATTACAAATTTATAACCCTGCGCCTTCAAGTCTGAACAATATCAGTACCGTATATCACCAACCTGCTTGGTTAACGCAAAGAATCGCAAAAACTGTGGTCTCTTGACAAATTTCCCTCTGAGGTGCGCCATTGCGCAGTACCACCAGAACATTTGCGCAGTAAAATCTCATTCTTGGGCCCTTGCAACATTACGTTTTGAATGCGTGGCTCCGACTCGTAATTTATGACATTTAAATTAGCTGTCACTCTTCGCGTACGCAACACAAATTACTGATTTATCAAGTTTGATCTTGTACATCAAGTTTGTTCTTTGCTTTCGCCTTGATTTGAACAAGTGTAGATAACGCAACTGATATAGGTAAGTGGGGACGGAGGGGATAAGGATTTTAAATGCACTGGCATTATGCCCAAAACTATTTGTTTTTGTGTGATAAATTCATGAATATTCAAACAGTATTTTTTTTGCAGTCCGTAAAAAACTAATGCAAAAAGTGCCGATGTAGTGCAAAAAATATCAACATTTTTTGATGCAGGAGTCCTAAATTGGGATAGGTCTTTGTCGTATTTTCGCTGTTTAGCCGTATTTTCGCTGTTTAGCCATTTTCTTTACTAATCGATTGAATGTTCAACTTCGCAGTAGCGATAGTCTGACGAGATCGCTGAAATGCGGTCACGGAACCAAGACACGGTTCAAATTTTTTAATTTTGTAGACGTCATCACACGGAAATTTGAAGTGAAAAACGACAACAATTTTATAAACCACTCCTGATATTCCCTAAAGGCCTAGTTTGAGAACCACTAGCTAGAATGTCAGTTCCATGTCTCGCATGTAGTTTGCTGTTCACTGTGATATCACATACGTGTCTGTTACGACCTTGGTTTCTCAGAAATTATTTCTAACGGGCTAGTTTTAGCCTCGCTTACAATGACAGCCCACTTTGATAATATATTGTTGCATGATTTTACATAGTTTGTCAATCAGTTTTGACTCAGCTGTAAAATATTCATGCTCAGTAAAACAAACATTTGTTCAGTGTAACATTTTCTTAGAGGGAACACTGCTTGCTCCTCGCCCATGAAATTAAACAAATAAAGCAAATTCTTGATCGAAAAAGGTCTTTCGCTCATTAGAAAAGAATTGTCCAGTAAATTAATATCATTAAATTGATATATATATATATATATATATATAACTAATCGGTCTTTTGTAGAAATCCCACGTCACTAATGCAAAATTGTGAGATTTGAGAATAACACTCGCACCACGTTTTAAATAGTGCAGATTGCGCTGGAAATTCAAATTTTCAAATCATTCCCTACCATAAATGAATAATTAAGGATATTTTATTTTTTTGAGGGATTTCTGAAATGTAAAAGGTCCGACTAATCATAATCCTCGTTCAATTTTTATTTGTACATTGTCATATTTAAATCCTATAGACTTTAAATCTGACAATGTACAAACTACAGCCCGGGTTTCGTCCCCTTGTAACAAGTCATCGCAATTAGCTGCAATTAGAATTTAAATCCTTGAATAAATTGTACGCTTCTCTGGGTGGTTTTAAAAAAACTTTATTGGCTCCACTTACATTTGTATACAGACCTTCAGCCAGATAAATTTCACAGATCTCAATTGACGGATACCCATCACAGATGTGTTTTGAAATTTGCCATAACCATACTAAAACCAAATTTCAGTGTTTTAATTAAAAACATAGTTCAAAGAATTTGTTGAGTTTATGACTTTATGATTAAATTTAGAGGCTTATTGTTTTCCCCCTTTGTATTTGTAACACTAATTAAAATTCTGTTCATTAGATGTGGCTTTTTTCGTCATGCCCCACCAGTCTAGGTGGGCGAAACTTTTTTGTCCCTGGTCCAAAATCTTCGTCCACCCCTGCTTTAAAGCATCACCCATAAGTATTGTCATTACTTATCGATCTCGATCGGTAAGTATGTTGATAGGTATTTATTTGTCTGATTGTTTCACTTTCGTATGTTAGGCGATATCTCAGCCATGTTGAATCTTCTCCAAATTTTGCATGTGCATTCATCATATCTCGGATCAGAAGCCTATTGATTTTGGATGAATTATGTTGTATAATTAGCGAGGTAATTATTAGTGATGGTACACACGGTGTCGCTATTGAGTCAGAGCGGAAGTAACATGTGAAAGATCGATAAGTCGGCGGTCTCCGATCGCTATCTAGTTCTGTATAAATGACGTTATCCTGCATTTTATTTACCCATTACTTTTACCCTTTTATTTGCCCTCTCTGTTCTTTATCTTTATTCGCTACGTCTACGATATCAAAGCCAAAGAAGGGGGTGGCGGGCAACGTCCGAGGGGTGTTTTTGCGACAAACTTTTATTTAGTTTGCACAGTATATTGCACCATCTAACCCGTTAGTACTTTGACTGAGCTTGTTATACATTCACTAAAATAAAACATAAATTTAACGACAGAATCTTCTGGAACACGGTTCTGGTCGTTCATTTCGTGCAAATAAATAAGAAGATGAATTATAGTTTATAGTGTTTTTAATGGGATGAATGAGCTTGGTTGGTCTTAAGCGAGTTTTTTAAATATTTGGTGACATTTTCGTCAGGCACTGATGGAAAGACAATTTCGTTGTTTTGATAGCAATAGTGTCACGGCTGAAACCACATTTTCCACCATGTAAGAGGTCGGAAATAAAAGAATCGAGGGTTCTACCTCATCAAAAATTGCCGGGTACTTGCCTGATTACCTGCACCAAAATACATCATAACGATCTTTTGTAAAATTCATCTTCGACTCCTCATCATGTACCACGGCCTCCAGTCCATAGAATTAATCAGCCATTTATTTGTTTCAGATTCATGGACTTGATAGTGAGGGAAGCCGTAACCGACCATTGGCTACGCCAGGGGGCGGTAACTTTTTGTCGCTCGCGGGCCAGTCTTGTCCAAAGTGGTCTTGTCGGGCCGCGCATACTTTTTGAAAGTTGAAAACAGAACAAAGCGCGAAGACTGCGACAATTCGTGAACTCGACTCAGTCGTCTTATTAAACGAAAAAATAACAAACTAGAATATCGGCTAGAAACCGAAGACTTATCGATCGAAGGTTAGGGGATCCCCCAAAACAGTGGTCTTACTCCATAGTGACACCGTGTGTCCCATCACTAATTAATTATTAACTCGCTAATTATAAGACATAATTCATCTAAAATCAATAGGTTTCTGATCCGAGCTATGATTAATGCACATGCAAAATTTGGAGCAGATTCAACTTCGCTTTCGTGAGATATTGCGTGCATCTAACACACAGACATACAGACAGAAAAATACCTATCAACATACTTACCGATCTTAAGATCGATAAGAAATGACATTTAATGTGACACTTTCTTGTTGCTACATCACGCTTGATAGCTTTTCGACCACACACTGAATGAAGCCAAGATTGTAACATTTTCTAAATGGGTATCACCAATCTTAGCTCTCCGCTTGTTCTTCGATATCGCCCGCTTTGGGAATCACTGCTTTAGTCACACCTCAATGGCTTTAGTCCCTTTACGCTTTACGGGGTCAAAGGTCGGGAAAACATCGACAGAACTCGCTTACCCGAATTCGTACTTCATAGCACAGAATAATTGTGCGTGCCGTACAGTATTTATTTGCGGCTGTACAATATTTTAGATGAGTAGGCCTACAACCATGATATTGTACTGATAGTTTTGAAATATTCAATCTGCGAAATTCTATTTTTAGCTTTGATATTCAGAGATGTTTTACGGTCAGACGGTACTGTGATTTTATATGGCAATCAATAGTTTGTTGAGTTTCATAGATAACCTTAAAAATACGGTACGTACCGTACAGCCTCTTACCATACGTTGTTACGGGTGATTCCTTGAATTGTCAAGATGCTGATGTCAGTTATTGAAGTTAACCGAGGAAAATTGGAAACAATAAAACATTGTGTTAGCGGGATTTCTGCGATAACACAAGATCTCACAAAACTCTGCTTCTATGTCACTATATTAGTGGTCCTATCGTCAGTTCTATTCCAGTATGTCAGAGTTTTATATACAAAAGAGCCCCAGACTGACTTACCCAGCTATTATACGGAATACAGTGGTTTTAATGGGGATAGATCCCTAGAGACACAAGAGGAAAATCATTTTGGTCAACTTTTACCAAAAGAATACTTACTTGAACAAGATACTGCTGACCAATCTCTAAATGATTTACCAGGAGTGAAACAGTCAAATTTTTTAACCAGGCGGCTTGTGCGAAAAACTAGTAACTACAGAGGTAAGTCTTGTAGACATATTACTGTGCTTATATAACTTAAATATCGCTGTATAAAAATTAATACTTTTTACAAAGGTAATTTGATAGACTTATCACTGTTATTCATCAACAATTACATACATTTTAGATGCAAGACATGAAGAGGCAGTGATGTCTTTGAAAAAAGCAAAGCAACTGTCTTCTAAGGGAAATAAGAAACTTGCCATAAAACTCTTTCAACATGCTCTTGCACTTGAGCCGGAATTCCCAGATGCCCTCAATGTGTATGGGGAATTTTTAGAAGATGATAATAATATCATGCAGGCAGACCTTCTATATCAACGAGCATTAACTTATGAGCCCAGTCACAGTACTGCTCTTGCAAATAGAGAACGCACTTTACCTATCGTTGAGGAGCTGGATAAAAATATGCTGAGGTATAAAAATATAATTGCCAACAATGTAGTTTGGTGTCATCAATCTATTTGAATTAGTGCACACTTTAAAAATAGACCCCTTTTGTAACCTACAACATTCACAATCCTTTCCAATAACAAGACCGTATTACATAGAATTTGGTATCGATAATATTATATTTATTATTACACTGAACATTGAATTTACCTAGGTCTATCGATTCAGTTGCTGATGCAAGAAAGAAAGAAGATTTTTTATCATTTTAAATAAATGTGTCATCATTCCCAACTGCTCATTATAAGGGGAGGATTCGTGGTTCTGAACATGGATCCAGTATAGTTCCATAGATAGTGCTGTGTTTATTGTTCACCTCAACACCACTTAAAAAGTTCAGAATTCATACTGATCCCAAAAAAAATATTTTTCGAAACTTATTTCAGTCAATAAGTAAAACAAAGTTTGCTGCTATGGTAGTGTGTCTGTAGAACATTTCTGAACTATTCATGACAATTTCTATGTACTTTTTTCAAGTGAAATTGACCAAAAGAAGACTGAATTATATAAATATCCTCCTCACAATAACAACCTGCGGAAAGCGATGAAAGAATTTTACTACCAACATATTTACCACACTGTTGCATTGGAGGGTAACACAATGACAATTGACGAAATAAGAGAAATAATCAATTCACGAAATGGTATTGCTGGAAAAAGTATATATGAACATAATGAGGTTATTGGAGTGGATGAAGCTTTGAAATACCTCAACAACACCTTATTACTCAACATTGGCTCCGTTACCGTTGATCAAATCAAAGAAATACACAAACGTGTGATTGGATTTGTTGATCCACTAAATGCTGGAGTGTTCAGGAGCAACCAGGTGTGTAGTGGATGTTTTGGCAAATCTCTTCTAAGCCAACATCGAAGTAAAAATGTTTACCTCACATGATGATATTTTGTGTGTGATTAAGTTTTCTTTTAAATACATCCATGTTAGAAATGTCTTGAATAATATATTATGCATTTCTGCATATTTTTGTGGCCTCGGTCTGCGTGGGAACGTTAACAATAGAAAAGATATATATTTAAAAGTAAGTCTAAATCAAAAAATATTTTACAAACTTGTGTTCATATTAACAATAATTAAGAGGCCAAGACGGTGTATTAATAGACAGTATTTGTAGTGAGCAGTGGCCTGCTGCAAATGTGGCATAAACCAATTTAATTTATTCAATCATTTATTCTAATATTCACGCTTAAATGTTTCCTAGGTTTATGTTGGTAAGCATATCCCCCCACATCCAAGGGAGGTTCCAAAGTACATGGAAGAGTTTAACGACTGGTTAAACTCGGAAGAAGCGGAAAGACTACACCCAGTTGAGTTTGCTGCACTTGCCCATTACAAACTGGTATATGTGCACCCATTTATAGATGGAAATGGCAGAACATCTAGGCTCCTGATGAACCTTATTTTAATGAGAAGTGGTTTCCCACCAGTGTCTATTCAGGTGAGAGCAATTATTGTGGTGAAATATGAATCTAACAATACTAAGATATAGGTTTTATTGAGGATGATTTCTTTTGCTTTAGAGTAGGACAGGATGGCCTGACCCACTTCAGGCTGGACAGTCTTGCAATGTGAATGTGCTGAGCACATGGTCCATCACTAATACATACAATATATGTGAAATGAAAAATTACAAAGTCTATTTTGTAATAAGTGGCAAAATGATTAAGAGTTGCACCAGTCCAACATCCAGTTGAAAATAACAGTAGAATAAAAAGCTTGCGTCTTTTCAAATTAGCTTAAATAAATTTGGCAAGAGGTAGTTATGCAATATTGAAAATACTAGCAAAATAAGGTTATTTTGAGTGAATAAAAAAATATTGTGCTTGCAATAAAGTATTAAATATTTATTGTGAATATCCCCTTTCAAGGTGGATGATAGATGGGAATATTATGAAGCGTTGGGAGCTGCTAATGAAGGTGATCTTCGGCCGTTCATTCGATTCATTGCCAGATGTGTATCGTTTACTTTAGATGATTACTTAACAGCAGCCAGAGGACTTTTGCCATATCCAGAGCTGAAAAGCTCAACTGAGTCCAATGTTATTGAAACTGTTCAACAAGAAAGATGACCATCAGATTTTTTGCTTTGTATATCATTTTAGTGCAATTTCATATTTATTTTTGTGAATATATAAATAGTTGGGTTTAATCTCAAGTCGCTGGTAAATTTCTGAGTTCCACAATATGTTACTGTGCATTCGAAGTGGTGGATAACCAATGGTGAACAGATTCTCCATAAATTCTTCACCGCTATTTATAGCTGGGAGATTCTTCACATATATCTTTGATTGAAACCATATCTATGTTCTGATCTTCAAGAAATTTCTTAAATCTTTGGTTTCTCAAAACTGCCATCTCATGTTCACGATACTTGGACCGTGAAAAGTCATCTGGACCTTGACCACAGCCTCCCTCTTCCCCAGCACATCTAAAACCTGGGTGTACCATGAGTTCACACTTTGTGTTGAGACTCTCTTCAGTGAACGCTTTGAGAAGCAGGTTTCGCAGAGATTCGAATGACATGTTAATACCCATTGTACTTGATCCAATAAATTTGTCAGTGTGCTTTATGTCATATTTTAAAAATGTGGTGAGGCAGTCTTTGCTGCATTCATCAACGTACTTGAAAAATGAATTCTGTAATCCAAGATCCTTTTTCACAATATCTTCTTCGAGAGGAAGTCTTGTCTGCGTGATGCCGTATTCATTTAGAACCTCACAAAATGCATCTCTAACAAGCGGCATTATGTGAGCATGCTGATGTCCGTCAACTCTTATTGGGTATGACCCTGACACTCTTTTAAACCAGTTGATTTGTGCTTTTAATTCTTGTTTCACGTGCAATGGGTTGATATAGCTTGATCTGGCAGATTTTACAAATTTTTCTTTTCCTAAAAACATTCCTTTTTGAACCAATGATGGAATTTTACTTGGTTCAACCAAAGGGTGACCTTCTGTAATATTGAAATGAAGTCCGACTGGAATACCTATCTGAAACAAAAAAGTTGACATGCTATGTATATTTCACAGGTGACAAATATTTTATTCTGTGACTTGACTGTAAAAAGTCACATTTGGTGGCATGCAATATACCAGCAAAAATCTATTCGTTCCAGTGGGTATTTCAATGTCTGCCCTGCCAAAAGATGACAGTCTTACTCAGCTAACTTGCATTGCACATAAATTCTATTACTGTATTAAGTATAATATGATGCAATATGGCCTGAGAAAATCAATATTCTTGATTCTGAAATACCATACTTCTCCCATGAGAATATAATATCCTATAATAAATTCTGTGACTATAAACAGCTAAAGCAATAAAGCCCGTTTCCTACTAAACACAGGATAGGATAGGATTTACATATTTATTCCGGGGGAGAGGAAAGTCGATAAGACGGTTTAATCATTTGGCGAACCACGTGTTACCACAGAAGTTACGTGAACCACCATATGGCGGCGAGGAGTCCAGCAATCCTCTCGCACATGACTATCCCCGCATGGGATTCGAACCTGCGATTCCACGAAGGATAATCAGAGATGCGGTGGCGAGCGTATTCCTAACGCTTAGCACGATGCGCCACATCGCCGAGCATAAATGCTTTACTCACCCGCAGTGCTTGAACTATTGCAGTTTGTGAAGTACTTCCATTTGCCAAAATAGACGCTGAGGTAATGCTATTATCGCGATAGAAACATTGAAATATACCGCGATCCCTCTCTTCGTTGTAGCCAAGATCATCAGCATTTATAAGCAGCTTTCCGACTCTTTTCATCCTAAGGCCGGTTTACGGGTCGTACTACTTACTGAATACAGCGCGAAACACCGCAAAACAGGAGACGCAGTTAATAGCATTGAAGTGATTACACCTCAATGCAATGCAAGTGCAGTTCTAAGTGGCGTCTGCAGCCATGGCGGTATTTCCATACCATGGCCGCTACACCTCAATGATGGCGACTGACTTTTTAGCTGCCACTAACCAATGACAGGGCTGTCCCGTATGGTGACAAATATGGGGTAAGTTGGAAGGAAAATCTGGTATATAAATTTGTGAATATACCGTTAATACTGATTACGGAATAGCGTTATAAAACCATGGCAAAAGCTGCCGCGGTTCGTTCGTGACAGGAGCTGCCATGAAGTGGTAAGAACTGCGCCTCCCTGTAAATGGTTATTACTAGGGTTACCATATTTTTCCGACTTCAAAGCGGGACGCCTCCTGTAACTTTACAGTTTCCGATTCTACTACATAGGCCTACATTTAAACCAGAGTCGTTATATAATGGCTCTGTTTAAACCATCCCGGCTGTCTTAATTGACCATATTTTCATCGAAAGTTCATGCGCATATTCTCTGTCTGAATATCGCGTTCAGTTCGAAAACTAAAAAGAAATGGACGCTAACGATACAAACGAGAATATCGGTCAGAGACCGAAGACTTATCGATCGAAAGTTAGGGGATCCCCCAAAACAGCGCTCTTACTCCATAGTGACACATTGTGTCCCATCACTAATTAATTAATAACTCGCTAATTATACGACATAATTTGCCCAAAATCAATAGGCTTCTGGTCCGAGATAAGATGAATCCACATGCAAAATTTGGAGCAGATTCAATCTCGCTTCCGTGAGATATCGCGTGCATCTAACAGACATACATACAGACAGACAAATACCTATCAACATACTTACCGATTAAAATCGATAAATAATGATCCGAATTTAGATTTTTTTTATGTACAGTAAAAAGAATAATGAAATAGTCTGCCGTTTTCAAGCATTGGGAATTTACCTATTCGCCCAAGCATACTTTTCTGTAGAAACACCCTTAAAAACACGTTGTTCAATGTTACATTCACGTGAACGTCCGAACAGGACCAATATAGAATTGATTCTACATGTGATACGTTCGCCAACAATGTTGGAGAAAAACAACGAAACAAACAAAATAAGGCATTCACCTTCAGTAAGTAGGCTACGCTAGCATTGCGCTACACAGCAACAACAGTAACGAGAACATGTTCGTGTATTATGCTGGGTGGCTGAACTAAAAAGCGGGACTTTTGGCTGACTTGTCGGGACGGCAGGACAAGACGCTAAAAAGCGGGACTGTCCCGCCTATATCGGGACGTATGGTAAGCCTAGTTATTACCATTGAGGTGTATTAGTGGTTATTACCACACTTCATGACGGCTCCTGTCACGAAAGAACCACGGCGTCTCTCGCCATGGTTTTATGGCGCTATTACCGGTATATTTACAAGGTTATGTGCCGTATTTCAAGTCATCATGCGAAATTATATCTCCTCTTTTTTATCTAACCCTAAAGCCAATTCGGAAAATCGGAACCGTATACATATGAAAAATGTTCGAAACTACGGTATACCCAAAATGTTTCACCAGCAGGAGCAGACCTGCTATTATATCCTAGATGTCTTGGTTTGTGTTTTTAATTTGCTGCCGTGGTACCCCAACTCGAAAAAAAGGTGCCCTAACTCATTGCAGATTTTTTTTCTGCTTTGCGCTGTTTCCCTCTGTTTTGCGCTGTATTCAGTGAGTAGTAAGACCGCCGGTTTACCTATAGTATTTTGCAGTAAGGTGAAGTCACTCCCGGGTCTCGTGTGGTTTCGTAACTAAAGTACTTCTAGTGGGCGTAACATGACGATTTTTGCACATGTCTATCCCAACTCCCACCTGGCTGCGCCATACAAAAAATTACACACACTACCGGTATCGAAGATTACAGAATGGATAGAAAACTCATTGTTATCGCCACAGACGTTACACGCTTGAGTGGCCTTCTATAAAACCATATTCTTGGCGCTTAAACCGTAAATAAATACTAATACTTAAACAATGCTTTTCTTACGACAGAGCCGCATGGAATTAATGCTTCAAATCTTGTAAGATTTAGTATATTGAAGCAAAAGTTTACGGTAAATATGTTGATACGTCCGTACTTGTATACATTGTTAAAATAGAATTTATGGGATAGATTCGTACAATTTTTTAATTGGCCTCAAGTGAGAACATATGCGTAGCATCATATATTGCGTCCAAGGCGGTATGTATGATTAGAAAGTGGCTTCTGATCAATTTGTGGATATATAGGATAATTAATGTAATGCATGTTCAAGCCTTTTTTATTGTACTTGAATAAGTTGTATTCTTTGATGGTTTATCGCAGACATTGAGATTTTTCTAATGTTGATACCTTGAAAACAACAGAGCTATGCTCAAATATATGCACACGTGAGGCAAAACGAAATATTTTATCATCAATTCACCAAAAATCGTAGCGTATCCTAAACGAAGCTGAACAGTGAAACAGCTACACGACTTCGATAATGTGACTTACCCAGCATGGCATAGTTTACCGATTCCAAGAAAAGCCCCCACATTAGAACACATTTATTATAACAGTGAGTGTAAGCCCCGCTTTTACGAGACAGTTTAGACAACCATATCGGCAATGAATTACTTTAGGAAAAAATATTCCGATTTGCCGATAAAAAATTTACTACCGTAGCATTCGAGAGTTTTAACGAAAAGCCGCGATTTTCTCCATACATGACGTGCCAGATAGATCAGTACACGGATTTTCAAGGTCCATGATGATTCCGTTTCAACCCGAATTGAAATACCAATTCAATTCACTACGATATCATACCAGCAAATACCAAGGTCTACAAATATATTAACACTAAGCGAAGAAGTACTCACTGCAGTAGTTTACTATAGCCCCTAATAATACCGGAAACCCAAGAAATCTTCAGAGTTTCGAGTAGCAACAACTTGTAGAATCGGCCGTCACGCGAGGCGGATTAAAACTGTGTTCCCATAATTAAAAAGTAATACAGCGAAATTTTGGTGAAATATTAGATCTCATAGGATTCATAGAAAATTCACATTACGTGTCCCATAATCGGAGTGGTAGCATTGTGGTAGAGTGGTGCAATCTCATTGAGCGGAGCCGGTGTTGCAGAAACAGATCATACGGTATTTGTACAATTCACAACATCGCAAAAATATGAATCAAAATCGGGCAATTTTTCAGATTTTTTATGGTCGTGGATTGCCGTGATATTTTATAGTAATGCTCTTATTTTTTACGTAATTCTGCGCACCAGCAGGTTACATTGTACGCGAAGAAATTAATAAAGCAAGACATTTTAAATAATCTTGGCCGTGAATGCTTTTATTTTGTCGGAAGTCGCAAACGCAAGATACCTTAAGCACAATTAAATTAATATGACAAGACTCCTAAAATGCTCGCATCGGCGTGGATTGAATATTTTACATAACGGAAAAATCATTATCCGTTGAAAAGTTAAGGCTCTTTCCACGACTCGCGTAATTGCGACGACTGTTTCGGAATCCATTACATAGAAATTTCCTAATTCTGATTTTAACCTCCCCACCCCTCTTTGAAAATCTTGGCCGTGTCACTGAATATATTTATTGGAACGCAAGTCTAATCGAACCTTCCTTTATAGCATTTTCTGTCGTAATAGTATGCAAAATTCTAGTTAATCATGACTAAGATAAGTATTTTGCAAGTCTTCAGATACGGAAATCATAAAGAAATTCATCATTTGAGGATTAACCGATTTATACGACGTAGATGTAGACATTTTTCAAGATTTATCCATTTAGCAGAAGTTACAAACTTTCTATAACTATCAAATATACCATGTATCGTGCACCACCAACGCACGATTAATGTATGCTGGACAACTTCATATTATGTAGAATAAAATAATTTTGAAAATAATCGACTCGGCCGTAAAAAAACTAGCTTGAACTGATCGTTGGGAGATATATTTTCATGATGTGTATTTTACTTTTGAGTTCGATACATACAATTCTAATATTCTATGAAATCACAATCGGCGCTAACTGGATCAAGTATTCTGTGCCGGTGATTGACATGTACAATCAACCGCGCGAAGTAGGGATCTAATATGGCTGTGAACAACCCAAATGTGGTATGAGGGAGCGTCTGCTATCTGCTTTATAACAATGGTGGATTGGTGGGACATTGGTCATTTTGACCCATTGTTGGACACGTTTAGTGGACATAACGATCGTTTCAATATTATGTTGTTATTTGTCTCCATCACTTTTAAAAAATCGCTCTTCTCTTCGAATACTGGACCAATTGCTTTGAAATTTTCAGTGGTTAAAGATAAAATTTTTCTCCAGAAGGCTATTATTTTTTTTTCGCTATGATGTCATCAAAATTATTGCCACTGGGTGGTGCTACGTGTCCATATATTTGAGCATAGCTAGCTCTCTTGTTAAGGTAACGATGCGCACACACACAATCACGCAGATAGAATAAAATCAGAAGAGAGAGAAAAATAAGAAAATATATGATATATTACAATATACAAACAAATTAAAAAACAGAAAATAAAATTTTGCCACATCATATTAATAATTTTTTAAGGATTGCCAAAAAGTGAAATGTATAGATAGGTTTAGAATTTTGATTCAAGCATGTTTTTCCCATTCATATCATGGATTTTAGACAAGAAATATAATTGAAATTATCGATTATCGACTAGGTCAGTTCAAATTTATCATAGATGATCGTCAGTATTTGCGAATTTCATCGATGTTGACACCATTATTGTTGGACAACCTAGGTGTTGCATCGGTTTGATCATCTCGAAACGACCTTGAAGACGAGAAATAAATCTGCTAGTTATACAGTGGTTCCCAAACTAGGGTCCGCGGACCTTTTGGGGTCCGTGACTTACTTTCGGCGGGTCCGCGGAAGAAATCTGTTATATGGCTCATAGTTTGATAATACAAAAATTTAGTGCCTAAATTTGCAAATACACGTTTGTCGCATTTTGCTGTTTCGCAATCACTGCTGGAGACACTGGTTCTTCACTTTCGATCACGCTGCCCCATTGTGATGTCACGGAGCTGTTT